AATGGCTGGGCAGGTCACAGATCTACCAGCTGAGCTTAAATCTGAAAAACAACAACAACAACAACAACAAAAAGCAGTTTCTTTTCTCCTGATCTAAGAGATTCAAAACAGTCTCAAGTACTCAGACTGATTAGAAACAACACTGGTTTGTCAGACATATCAACCAAGATCATGAGTGAAACCTGATTGAATCTTCATTGGGGAAAAAAGCCATCAGTTAAAGATATCTTCAGAAGAACAGAAAATATTGAGTATTGGGTTGACAGTACAAGATCTAGGAAAATACACTTCATTTTCTTAGGAGTGATCATGGGAATTGATATATTAGAGAAAGCTCTTAGATTTACAAGAGGTAGGCTAGAGTATTTAGCGGTGAAGTGTGTTGATGCCCAATATATTCTCAAACAGATTAGCAAAAGACACACATATATAAGTAAAGTATATATCAAAATATTAACATTCATTGGATGTAGATGGTGTGTATGTATGGGTGGTAATTATAGAATTTATTTTTCTGTATAATCAAAACTGTTACAAATAGTGTATTAGGGAAATAAAAAATGCACTCAGGAAAATCTGAAAAATCCAACCCTGCCCCTCAAAAATTGACTTCTTCCTGTGCCTTCAATTCTTATTATCACAGATACTTTTATGCAAGGTAGAAATAGATAAATTTATTTTGGTATTAAAACTATGTACATTCTACTGCTTTTCCATCACCCATAAAAAGTATGTATTCAACTCTTATGGCTTTTTAATACAATTAATTTTTAATTATTTGAAAGGAAGAGGTATCTTCCATTTACTGATTCACTCCCCAAATTCCTGCAAAAGTTGGAGCTAGGTCAAGCTGAAACTAGGAGTCAGGAACTCCACCAGCTCTCCCATGTGGGTAGCTAGAATCTAAGTACTTGAGACATCACCTGCTGCCTCACAGAGTGCTTTTTTTAAAAAAAAAAAAAAAAGTTTCATTTACTTATTTTTATCTGCAACTCTTAATAGGGATTTACAATTTCATCTCTATCTGACTTTGTATCACAAGAAAAGTTGCCAACCTAACAACAAACAGGAGAGGGTAACTAATATATTTATCCAAGACTTACTTTGTACTGAAACATTAACAAATATCATTTTATTTATTTATTTCATTAAAAACCTGTGAAGTAGATACTAGATGACAAACAGAAGCACTTGTAAATTACCTACACTTGGACCTTGACACAGGGTCTCCCAACTAACAAGTAGGGCACAGTTGAATATATGGCCAAATGTCTCCTGATACATTGAAGGTAAGAATGTAAAATGCAGTAGTCACTTTGGAAAACAGTCTGGTAGTTTTTCAAAAAGTTAAACAGAATTACCATATGACCCGGCAATTGTCTCCTAAGTATACACCTAAGACAAATGCAAAAAAAAATTGTTCATAGAAAAACTCAAACACAAAAGTTCATAGCAGCATTATTCATAAGAGTCAAAAGTATAAATAACCCAAATGTCCATCACAAGATGTGGTATGTCCACACAACAGAATTTCATTTGACAAGAAAAATTAAGTATCAACACATATTACAACATGGATGGAAGCTGGAAACTTGCTAAATGAAATAAGCCAGACACAAAAGACTATATATTGTATGGTTCTATTTATATGTCATATCTGGAACAGGCAAATCTATGGAGACAGAAATATTAGTGGTTGCTTAGGACTAGGGAAAAAGGGGAGTGACTGCTAACTGATATGAGTTAGAAAGGATGAGGTTTTTGATGGGAAGCACTTACAGCAAAATGTTCTAAAACGATCACGGTTATAGTGGAACAACTCTATGAATATACTAAAAACCACTGATTTTAATACAGGTGGATTATATGGTATATGAATTAATCCAAAAAAAAGTGAATTTCTCTTTACTGCTCTATTTTGTCTAACTGACTACAGTTTTCCTAGTAGAACAGGCTTTTAAAATCACACTGTGGAATTAGCCAGGTTGAATGTGATTCTACATATCATTTGGACTTTTCTGGTCAAGAAAGTTGATGACTGAATTGGACATTTTTGAATATCCAGTTTGTTTTTTTAAACAAGAGAGAGAAAAATTGAAAGTTAGGAACAAATAAAAGTGTGTGAATGAATGAATGCATAAAAAATTCCTTTCTGTTATATTTCCAATATTGGTTACACAAGTTCTTTGGACTTTGGCTTCGTAATGTGAAACATGTTATACGAGATCTCATCTCTGGATCTAGAAGGCAGAGCACAGTGAACTGGCCATCAGCAATCTGCAGATTTGAAACAAAAGGCTGTTTCCATGTGATTATTAGCAATGGCCGGGTCTATAAGAGCTTCGGGAACTGTGGAGCAGCTAGAACTGCAACACATATACGGGCTTTCAAATTGCGCTGACTCCCTCCTTCATGCCTGATGCACTTTGAAGATGCACAATAACCTTTAGACTCCAGAATGATCTGCCATTCCGCAGTCATAAACACTCTGCTTCTTCTAGCACCCTCAACTTAGTTCCTTTTATGACTAAACTGTGGCATTTGGGCATTTCCTTAAGTTTATTGCGGAAATCATGATAGGATCAGTGCCTGGCTTTTCCTGATTCAGGTTGGCTTGGGTGCCTCTAGGAAGCACCCAAGTTCCTCTACATTGTGATTGCTCTCATTTGAAGGGGAACTTCAAAAAGTCCATGGAAAATGGAATTAAAGCATATTGACTTTGATGTAAGAATTTTTTGAAATGCATGAAGTTTTTCCATAATACACATTACCAAGGTGTAAGGATTCTCAATTTTTTTCTCACTGCAATAAACACAATAAATCTTTTATATGTTCCATGAACTTTTTTTTTTTTTTTTTTTGACAGGCAGAGTGGACAGTGAGAGAGAGAGAAAGAGAGAAAGGTCTTCCTTTGCCGTTGGTTCACCCTCCAATGGCCACCGCGGCCAGCGCTCTGCGGCTGGCGCACCACGCTGATCCAATGGCAGGAGCCAGGTGCTTTTCCTGGTCTCCCATGGGGTGCAGGGCCCAAGGACTTGGGCCATCCTCCACTGCACTCCCTGGCCACAGCAGAGAGCTGGCCTGGAAGAGGGGCAACCGGGACAGAATCCGGCACCCCAACCGGGACTAGAACCCGGGGTGCCGGCGCCACAAGGAGGAGGATTAGCCTAGTGAGCCGCGACGCCGGCCTCTATGAACTTTTTAAAACAGTATTTATCTATTTATTTGACAGGCTGAGGGGAGAGAGAGAGAGTCTTCCACCTGCTGATTCACTACAGGTAGTTTTTTAAATATCCTTGTATCTGAGTTGCCCTCTCTCCCATTCCAGTTGGGTTCTTCTTTTGGTTTTCTTTAGTTCCCTGCTTCTGGCAAGGTGGAGCTTTCCCAGAACTGGATTAGCAGCACTATAATAGTAGTAACCCTTTCATTACCAGAGTAATTTACTTGTTTTGAACTTCAGCATTTACAGGCAGCTGCTGCAAATTCAAAGGTAAAAGGACATGTGACTTTTTTCCTGCTTTCACAAGTCTAGAGTACTTACAGTGAGGATTCTATTTATGGCTTTGAAGCCATCTTTCACCCTTTTCAAAAAAGAAAGGCGAGATATGAGGTAGACCTCTTTTCCATTCAAACAAAACACAAATCTGGTAACAATACCTAAGTACCATTTTCAAGATTCTGCAGTTTATCCAAGATAAATAAATGAATCCCATTAGAATGCGATTTTACGTATATTTGACTTTGCAATCTTTTGTCGCAGTGTTCTCGGCCAAATCAGTAATTCAACTGTTAAAACAGGGAGAAAACCAAGGGATAGAGCCTTGCTATCTTAGGTGGCTTCCTATCCTAGTCATAAGTCTTGTAGCCTCTGTAATTTCTTACTTACCAGGCCACATAAAGAGAGTCATAAAACTGCCTTCCTGGGATGGGACAGGCTTAATCATTATCCTAAAGCAACCTAAATGCATCTGAATGAAAAGTGCATAGAGATAATTATAAACACAATCCCTTGGAATTTTTAAAACTTTATTTCTACAGCGCTATCAAACTAATGGAAAACAAGTTATGCTAACTGTGGTTGAGGCCTGCAGGGATCACATATTCTAAATATAGAACTTACTTCTACAATTTTAGCCAGATGCAAAGTGTTCAGAATCAGGGGGTATGTCATTTAAAGTGCAGAGCCCTGGGGTGGGCATTTGGGACAGCAGCTAAGTTGTCACTTGAGATGCCAACATCTCATGTTAGCCTTGGATTGAGTCCTGGCTCTGCTTCAAATTCCAACTTCCTGCTAATGCTCACCCTAGGAAGCAGTAGTCAAGTCCTGTGGAGTCATTCAAGTGGGAGACCGCATTGAATTCCAGGCTTCCGGATTTAGCTTGGGCCAGCCCTGGCTGCTGTGGGCATTGTGGGAGTGAACCAGTGGATGGAAGATCTCTCTGTCTCACTGCTATTTAAATAAAACAAACGAAAAACCACAGAGGACAGAGCCATTTCCAAGAAAGGCTCTCAACACAGATACCAAGCTCATATTAATTTCACTTGTACAGGCGGAAGCTGAGGCTTCCCAGTTTCAGAATACACCAGTCAGCACAATTGCAACACCTTACCCATGACTGGGTGTGTGTCTTTTGTGTGCAGAAGCACTGTGGACATCAAAGGCCAGACCAGTTTCTAATGGCAACTGGCTCCCCGGGGAGCTAACCAAACAGAAGGCAAGGAACAGGGTAGGGATTTGGATGGCAGTAGTGGCCGAAATGAAGGTCGTGGCCCTGAAAGGTCCTGGAGAGGCAGGGCGATAGGGCTGGGAATAAGTCCTGCCAAGGCCCACAAGACTGACATTGTCAAATTGTCCTGGGCACACACATGCTTCAGGCTACGCATTGTGGGGAGCAGCGCTGGCACTAAAAGGTGCTACCATGGACATTAAATTAGGAAGGGCATCAGTGCCAGAGAATAGCCACAGCAAATAGGTTTCCTCCACGCTTTTTGGACCTCAGACCAAAAAACCAGAGAAACCTGCAAGCGTCTCTTCACAGTAAGATTCTACGAACCAAACAAAGCGATCAAAAAATGTAAAGACACGCACTCCAGCCAAGGCCTTCGTCCACTCACTTATTCCACGGAGGTCGGAGCCCACTCGGTGCTGGCCCCTGCCGCCACGGAGATGCTAGTGTAGTCCATTCGGTGAGGGAGCTGACAAAATTGTCACATCACTGCCACCGCGAACGCACGGGGGACAGGACCTGCCCCTCAAAGTCTCCCACGTGGTCCCTGCAGGTGAGTGTGGGTGTGAGCGCGCGCGGCTGGGGGTGCTGGGGAGCGTGCGAGAGCACGTGTGTCAGAATGGCGAGTGTCACAGTACACGGACAGGTGTCGCCCCGGCACGCGTCTCCCTAAACGCCGAGCGGCTGTGCGGGCAGCGCGAGGCTTGTGTCTCCCGCCCACGTACCGCGGGCAGCGAGGGAAGCACCGGCGGGTGCGATTGTGAGTGAGCGCGGGCGCGCGCGGGGCGGGGGCGGGGCGCGCCGCGCTGGCCTGGCCGCGCGCAAGCGCAGAGCGCGGGAGCCGGGCCCGGCCGCCGCAGAGCGCCGGGGGCGGGAGGAGAGCGAGCCCAGGAGGCCATGGCCGCCGCCGCTGCCGCCGCCGCCGCCGCCGGCTGCTGAGGGGCTCGGCCCGCGAGCGCCTGCCTCCGCGGACGATGGTGACCGCACGGGTCGGGCCGCTGCCGCCGCCGCTGCCTCCACCTCCCAAGACGCAACAACCAAGGCCCGGCGCGGAGGAGCCGCCGCTGTGAGCCGCACCGTCCCGGCCCCCACCGCCGCCGCCGCCGTCCGAGGAGAACGGGAGGCGGGCGAGAGAGCCGGGGAGTTGCGGAGCCCGCCCGTCCGCCCGCAGCGCCGCGCCGCCGGGAGGGAGGCCGCAGCCCGAGGTGACCGCGCCGCCCGGCCGGCCCCTTTCCATCCCTGAGCCCCACATCCTCTTCCCACGTCCTCGCTCCCCTCCCCCACCCCCTACTCCTCCTGGCCCCTCTCTCCTATCCGCCTCCCGCCTCCCCGTCTCCCCTGCCTCAGCGGAGTCCGCATCCTTCTGCATCCGCATCAGCCCCTCCCTCCACCCCCCAGCCTCTCTTGCGGCCCCCGGGAGCCCCTCAGTGTGCGCCCCGCTCCCGGGGCCCTGCACAGAGCCCCCTTCTCTCGTTCCCGGGCCTGGCCGCCGCCGCCACCTCCCAGCCCTCCCATCCCGCCCTCTCTCCGGGGCCTGGGGATGCCCCGCACATTCCTAAGATGCCCTTACTCGCGGCTCGCCCCCTGAGCGCCCAACTTGAAGGCCCCCTTCGATCCTCTTTCCGGCCTCTCTTCGCCAATTTTCCTACCCAACTTTGCCGCTTTTGTGGCTTTGTCCACTTGGCTCCCAGGCTTTCCTCCCTCTTGCCTCTCGGCTCCCCTTGTTGGGTCTACGCAGCTCCAGACTAAGCCTCCCCACTTTGCTGCGGCGTGCGGCGGTTTGGGGGTGCGCACCGGCCTGCCAAGCGCTTCTCCGAACGAGGACCCGTCGCGCCGCATCCCGCCCGTCAGTCCCTCCTGACAGCCAGAGGGCTCGCTGCTCATCCCTTCTTTTTGTCCTCGCGGTTTCCTCTCCCGCGTGCCATTCCTTTGCCTCCCCTTCCAGTTCTGCTCTCCTCACTTGAGGGCCCCCACCCCCTCCCTGAGACCCCCCTTCCCTCCCGCTGTGGAGTGAGTCCCTTTTCTGTTCGGGAACGGTGAACTTCGCCCTCATCTTTCTTGGCTAGCCTTTTGGTGCGTGGCGCGCCGGAGCCGGCACCCTTGGCTAGGTGGGAGGGGAGCTCCGGGGCCTCTCTCCTGGCAGAGTTTTTGCTGAACGTAATCCCCTAGCCCCCGGGCGGCTGCTTGCTGCCGCCGCGCTGCCTGCTTGCTGCGAGCGGGTTGGGGTTACTAGAGTTCAAACGCATCTGAGATCAGCAGGCGTGGGGGAGGAGGTGCGGGGAGAGAGGAAGGGGCCTTTGCAGTGAGAAGGCATCAAAGATTAATGGATGGCTTTGCATCGCAGTCTGCAGTAAACAGGAAACTAGTCGGAAAGGAAAGGAGAGGACTGTGTGTCTTTCTCATTTTTTAAAATACGGAGTGTGCAGTTCTGACTCTTGAATCATGCCCAAAAGGATGAGCTGTCTGTGCTGCAGTCGTGAGCCAGGCTGAGCGCCCAATGGCAGAGGTAGCATTGTTGAGAGCCGGCCCTTGTGGACTCTGCCTTGGCCGTTGTGGAGATGATGAGGAACCGCAGAATTCCAGGTAGTTGATGTGGAGCTCAGGTACATACAGAGTTAGCGAGCCAGGCGTGGGAGTGGGGAGGACCAGCTATATTTAAAACGTGCCAGCGCTTATGTAAGAGGTGCGTTTTCTTTCCTGGTATCGCAGTTCTGAGCGGAGTTTACTTGGGATTTCGTGTTGTCCTGTTTCCAGGGCTTCACTGTCCTAACCGATGGACAACTAGAAAATCTGGCTTCCTTAGGATCAGTTTTGGTTGATGGTAGAATTTGGTATTATGTAAACTGATGGTGAAAAAGGAGATTAACGATGATATTTTTGTTGTGATGGTGATGGGTAAAAAGGTGCAGAAACTTTCAGCTGTAACTTACTATATAAATATTGTTCCATACAGTTTTAAATTGACTCATGTGTCATTCTTATTTTTACTTTACTTTTTTAAAAGGGAGTTTAGGAGGTGTGAGTACTTTTTTTCTTTTAATGTCTTATTAAACATAGTTCTTCAACAGAGACCAGCTAACACTTTAAAAACCCATGTTATTCTTACTGTTTAGGATGATTTTTTTTATATTTAAAACTAAGATGCTGTGTTTTCAGGGAAGTGTAAAATGATGCTTCTTATGTTTGCTAACCCACAAATATGAATGGTACACTATGCAACATAATATCTGTATACTTGTCTGAAGTACCCATTCCAAGCCTGAGAAAGTCATATATTGCAGTTTTCTATGTCTTGTTTTACTATTTGTTGAACTTCTTCTGTGGTTTTTGGAAAGAAATGCCATTTTTAAAGCTGTTTTAGTATGTAAAGCATCTTTGAGTCATATTCAGTTTACATTATTTGCAGAGACATCACATTGGAATTTTACTTTCTCATTTGTTTTTGCAGCTCAAGAAAAAAAATTTTAAGATGTTGCATGGAAAAGTAAAACAGTGCAGGAAATTTATATATTTGGCTTTAGGTGTGTCAGATCTTTAAATTTTCTTCACATTCAGCTCTCTTGTTCTTTTCCTAGGATGATTTGATATTGTTGGTTTTTTTTAGAGAGTTTTGAGTACTTTCTGAATTTAGAATGTGCTCCATTGCCCGTCTGACAATAAATCTTAGAAAAAGGTGAATTCTTTTTGAACCAAACATTATAGAGGTATAATGTCTTTACTTCAGGGGAGAAACCTCCATTTTTTCATTCATGTTAGTATAATACAGTGATTTGGCATATGTGAATTATTTCAGGTATCTGTAAACAAGATAAATAATTCACAGTTTTGTTTACATGTTGGTTTAGTGCTGTGCGAGTGTACACTAGCGTACAGGATTTATTTATAATGGTCACCACCTGTCTTATGTACCTCTACCCTAGAAAGATTCAAAATTATAAAGTTTGAAAAATGTGTTTGGTCTCTTTGACTTGCCTCTTAAGTTTTTTTATATGGCTAGCTTGCCAATATCTTGTCAAAATATCACTCATGCACAGAAATATGGAGCAGCGGCACTGCCATCCCATATGGGCACTGATTTGAGTCCCGGCTGCTCTTTTGATCCAGATCCCTGCTAGGGTGCCTGGGAGAGCAGCAAAGGATGGAAGTGCTAGGGCCCCTGTACCTGCATGGGAGACAGAGGAGGCTCTAGGCTCCTGGCTCCTGACTTGAATCAGCTCAGCTCTGGCTGTTGCAACTGTTTGGGGAGTTAACTAGCAGGTGGAGGAACTCTCTTGTTCTCTCTCTCTGTCTTTCAAGTAGATGGAATAAATCTTTTTTTTAAAAAAAAAAAAAAGGAAGCCATTGAGTAAGCAATAGATTCATCAAGCTTCATTCTATCCAAGGTTCTTCCTAAAACATTTGAATCTTGAGTTGACCATACTGTTGAGTTTGAGGATTGCCCTTTAAAAAAAAAAAAAAAAGTATTTATTTATTTGAAAGGCAGAGTTACAGAGAGGCAGAAAGAGAGAGGAGAGAGAGAGGTCTTGCATCTGCTGCTTCACTTCCCAAATGGTCGCAATAGCCAGAGCTGAGCTGATTCAAGCCAGGAGCCAGGAGCCTAGCGCTTCCTCTGTCTCCCATGCAGGTGCAGGTGGCCAAGGACTTGGGCCATAGCAGAGAGCTGGATCAGAAGAGCAGCCCGGACTTGAACCAGCGCCCATATGGGATGCCGGCTCTGCAGCTGAAGGCTTTACCCACTGTGCCACAGCAACAGCCCCAGGGATCATCTTCTCAGATATTCTTCTGTATTGACAGCTTTGGGGCCCAAGATTTTCTGATGATTCTTGTTATATATCTCAGGCAGGAGTTGTGAGCAGAAATTAAGGGGGAGCGTGTCATTCTAGTGATGGCCTTCTTTCGTAATTCAGATGATCCTCTGTAAGGATTAGGGAGATTTTATTTTTCCCTTTGATTTATAATGCAGGATTGGGTATTTGTAAAATGTTTTCTATATCCCTGTAAGAGCTACAATAAATGGTGAAAATGGGTACATTTAAAAATAGCGAAACATTAAAAACAGAGGAAGTGTCCAAGTCAGATGAAATAAATATAGACTGCACATATTAACATAGACTGTTTCCCTACCTTTGTTACTTAAAAACAGAAGTGCAGTGGTTTATTTTGGATTCTACAGTTGGGAGCAATAGTGACTTTTCCATTGCAGAGTAAAGCCTGTTAGTGATCTTGTCATCTCAGTAGATGGTGATTTTTAGATGTGGCTGGGAATTTAGAAGAAAAATCTATCGTTCATATACTTGAAAATAAATTCTCAAAAGAGCATTGAGTTATCCATTTGACCACGAGACTAAGTAGTTATTTCCTGTATATTTCCTGAAATCATCTAGATGTCTTAGGTGTATTATACTTTTTACCAGCATGATAAACTAATGCACAAATATTCTAGAAAACTTGGCAAACAGAAAAAGAAGACTGTTGAAAGGATGTTGCTGTGACTTTTGCAGTGTATTTCTTCTCAGTATAATTGTTTATTTTTTTCTTTTAAATATTGACATCTCAGTGTCCTCGGGGAATTGATTCAAAGATACACCCCCAGCACCAGCACATGAATACCGAACTCTGCGTTGGCTCAAGTATCTTATAAAAAAAGGCATAGTATTTACCTGTACCCTACTGTATACGTTAAAGAATTTCTAGATTACTTATACTACCAATAGGATGTAATAATGTATGAATAGTTATATTGTATTATTAGAGAACAGTGACAAGAAGGATTCTGTACATGTTTAGTACAGACTTCTTTTTTTCCCTAATATTTTCAATTCAAGGTTGGTTGAATCTGAAATGTGGAACACACAGATACAGGGTTCTATAATATCAAGAACTTTGAGACATTTAGTTGAGTTTCCTGAATGGTTTTTTAGTGCTTTCCCTCATGGGACAGAACTCTTTGGTTTTGATTTTTAAAATATTTTTTCTTTTGTAGGAAGATTATTTAAATAATCTTGTTCATTTAAGATAATCAGAATTACAGGATTTATAAAAATGCTAATTCTGTGTTACTGACAAGAAAACAGCATTTGGATTATCGTGATGGTTGATACATGATCACTGAAAAACTTGGGTTAACAGTGCTTGCTTGAGCTGCCTTTGACTTTTAACTGTCTCATCTAGGAAGCTATGAAAATTGGAGGGTAAGACGGAAACACTGACATTTTTAACCATAGGGTAGCAATCTGTCATTATAATATTTTTCAGAAATAAATGTTTTCGTTTGTCCCATAATGTCTGAAATTACTGCTAAAGCTAGCAGCGTGTTTAGCTTTCTCAGCAAAGTTCTTAAAAGGAAATTGTCAGAGTGAGCTATCTAGAAGTATCTTTATTTTAAGTGTTTACCCACTTAAGTTTGCCCTGTTTCTCGGGTTAGTTTGCAGCTCTACCATATGAAGCAGTATTTCATTGAATTGTCCTTTTAAGTAGTGGATTATCCAGGAGATCCTGGTAACTGCCTTTCATTCCCTTCCTTCCTCTTTGCTTTTTTTTTTTCTTTTTTGTTGTAATTAACATATAAGCAGAGATCTTACATACTCAGTGCCTGGCTTCTTGCGGTGTCTGCATTTCTGTGTATCAACGGAAGAATTTGATGAGCATTATTTTCCCACTTTGAAAGCAACTTATGGGAATTTTAGACTAAGTTTAATAATTAAAATAATAACATTGCAAGTGATGTCTCCTCCACCTTTGTCTACATTATGAGTTCTCTGGATTGTAAATTTAGTAGTTTAGTTTTGATTGTAAGTGAATAAGGAAAAGGATAGACTATGAGATGCTGCAGTTCACCAAATTTTTATTGAATAGCTTAGGTTTTTAATATAGTAAATATTTAAGATTTGCGTTCTTTTTCGAGAGTCACATATATCTCAAGCAATTTTATAGGAGTGAATTTTTCTTTTTTAATAAATTGGGCAATAGTACAGTATTCTTACAAGATGTTTGGTTGCTATGTGGCTATCTTTGAAGCTGATGGCCCTTTTAAAATAAATTTTAAGACTTGAACGTTTAATCAGAATCATAAAGTTGGATAGACCTGAAAGTATTGTGAAAACATTGCAAAGCTCATTTTATCAATACCTAAAAATAAGATATATTGCTAAGGAGTTTTATACACTCTTAACAGTTTTTGTATATGACCAACCCATTAGATTCATAAGGGGATATCTAAAAGCTATTTATATTGACTTATTTTTACATTTTGTATCTTCTGAATTTTAGGTCTGCTCCAAGAGGGAAATAACAAAAACAAAAAACAATGGCTGCAAAAGAGAAACTGGAGGCAGTGCTGAATGTGGCCCTAAGGGTGCCGAGCATCATGCTGTTGGATGTCCTATACCGATGGGATGTCAGCTCCTTTTTCCAGCAGATCCAAAGAAGTAGCCTCAGCAACAACCCCCTTTTCCAATATAAGTATTTGGCTCTTAATATGCATTATGTAGGTAAGTGGCTACATTGTATTTTCTAACCTTAGAGTGAACAATCCAATTTGTCTTTGTATGTTTTGAATTGTGGTTAATGAAGTTCAGTTATAGATCACAGTGATATAATCATTGGTGAAGGTTTATGAGTCTTGATTGTTTTATTTGTCTTATCATTGCATTGAATTATTAGAACTAGAGGATGGCAGGCGGTCTGAGATTTATTTTACTGGGTAAAATTGGAAGACAGAAGAAAACATTTTTGAGTTTTAATATGATAAAATGTAAGTAATGAGAAATTCTTTTTCAGACATTTGGCCTCCTCTAATTTTTCCTTATTTTGGAATTTGTAGTAATTCAGAAATTTGTTGTTGTCTTTGAGAGGCCAAGAGAGAGCAAGCTCCTATCCACTGATTGACTCCCCAAAGGCCCACAGTTGCTGGGCCTGAGCCAAATTGAAGCTGAGAGCCAGGAACTTAATCCAGGTCTCCCATGTGAGTGGCAGGGACCCAACTTCTCAAGCTATCACCAGGGCCTCCCAGGATGTGCATCAGCTAAAAGCTACATTTGAGAGTGGAGTCAGGACTTGAATCCAGGCATTTTGAGATAGGATGCAGGCATCGCAACTGGCAGTTTAACCACCATGCCACATGCCTGTCCCAGAAGGTAAGGTCTTTGAAATGCAATATTCTTTATTATTTCTGAGAAAACTAAAACATTAATATTACTTGAGGAGTCAGTGCTGCGGCATAGTGGGTAAAAGCCGCCATCTGTAGTGCCGGCATCTTATATGGGCGCTGGTTTGAGTCCCAGCTGCTCCACTTCCAATCCATCTCCCTGCTCTGGCCTGGGGAAGCAGTGGAAGATGGCCCAAGTCCTTGGACCCTTGCACTCACATGGGAGACCTGGAAGAAGCTCCTGGCTCCTGGCTTTGGATCAGCCCAGCTCCAGCTGTTGTGGCCATATGGGGAGTGAACCTTTGTTTCTCTGCCTCTGCCTCTGCTTCTCTGTCACTCTACCTTTCAAATAAATAATTAAATCTTTAGAAAACAATCAGTTGAATATAAAGTGTTCATTTCAATGAAATGAAATGCGGGAAATGGTACTAAAATATTTTCTTTTTAAAAAATACTCCTAGAATGGTATTATGCCTTGAGCTTACTGGTAAAAGAAAGTAATGGTGAGTATTAAAACTATAGTAGCACAACATTCTTAACTATTGGTTTGACAAAGGTATAAAACAGTTTTACAAAAGTATATTTGCAGCAATACTCATAAAAAAACAGATGTTTCTTTTTTTGGTTGTTTCTTTTTAAAATTTTAGCTCCCGCATATAAGGGAGAACATGCAGTATTTGTCTTTATGAGTCATGTTATATCTTTCAATGTTATGTTTATTAATTCATTTGGAGTTGATTTTGAAGTGTAGTGTGAGGGACCAGTGTTGTGGTGTAGAGGGTAAAGCTGCCACTTGTGGTGCCATTGTTCTGTATGGGTGCTGGTTTGTGTCCTGGCTGTTCCACTTCTGATCCCACTCCCTGCTAATTCCCTTGGAAAGCAATGGAATATGGCCCAGGTGTTTGGGGCCCTGCCACCTACGTAGGAGACCTAGAAGAAGCTCCTGGCTGCTGGCTCCAGTCTGACCCACCACTGACTGCCAGTTGCAGCCATCTGGAGAGAATAAACCAGTGAATGGAAGATCTCTTTCTCTGTAACTGATTTATTTATTTATTTATTTATTTTTGAAGATTTATTTGAAAGACAGAGTTACAGAGAGAGGTAGAAACAGAGAGAGAGACCTTCCATCAGCTGGTTCACTCCCCTGGTGGCTGCAACGGCCCAGGCTGTGCTGATCCGAAGCCAGGAGCAAAGAGCTTCCTCTGGGTCTCCCATGTAGGTGCAGGGGCCCAAGGACTTGGGCCATCTTCTACTGCTATCCCAGGCCATAGTAGAGAGCTGGATCAGAAGAGGAGCAGCCGGAACTAGAACCGGCTCCCATAAGGAATACCTGCGCTTCAGGCCAGGGCTTTAACCCGCTGTGCCACAGTGCCGGCCCCTGTAAGTGATTTTCAAATAAATCAAAATAAAAATAAAAACTTAAGAAAATAAGCAACAAATTTTAAAAAAAAGAAGTGCAGTGTGAGGTAAGGATTTCACTTGATATTTTTCCCCTTATGTTCTACCACAGTGATTTGCAATGCTGCCATTAATATGAACCCAAACTGTAATGACAACATGGATGTATTGCTGGATTCTGTCTTCTGCTGTACTGAACTATCTACATCAACATTTTTTAAAATTACTGTAACTTTGTAATAAATTTTTATATCTGGAAAAAAAGTAATGGTGAGAGATTAAGGAAATACAGGCATGAGACAGATTAAATTAATCTTGAATAAAAGTCATGATCATAAGTTTTAGGTTAATTTTTAGTTTGCATTTGTGTGTGTCACAATATATTTTTATCATTGCTATTGTGTAATTCCAGTCATGGCTCAAGGGGTGTTTAATAGTGTTTGTTAATAATATTTTAGTTAGAATTGTCCATAATGAAGCATATTTTTCATAGAAAACTATGGAGTTTTGTCCTGTCTCTGTGGGAAATATTTTAATCTAGAGGAGGACTTCCTGGGTTCCACATTTTAGCCTTGAGAACCCCCTGTGGCTCTAAGAGAGCACCAGGCAAGCCACTATGAGAAGAGTGGTATTGTAGGAAAGACACTGCACAAGCAGCAAAACATCTGGGCTCAATAAGCTCATCTCTTGTAGCTGGTACTAACTTGGGAAAGTCTGTGAAATGAGAAGGTTCCTTTATATTGCAAAACACTATAATTCTCAGCCCTTCATTAAAGGCTTTCTATGTTAGCCAATTTATGGAAAGTAATTCCAGTCAGTTGTAGAACAATTGGGCACTTGGCTAAGACTTTTAGCTTCATCAGCAAAGTAATTCACCCTGTGGTTTAAAAAACATACTTATCATATATTATTTCTGAACAAATTGGAATATTTGCTAAAAGAACAGCTGCCCAATAGCCAGAAACATTAGAAATTGAGTGGGTTCTAGTACCGTTGAAGTTCATCTTTTGTGGCCTATCACTTTGGGATCTCAGCTGAGCCTTCTTAAATATACTCATTACATGCCTCAGGAGAGGAAGCTCCGTGATTACAAGAGTGGATATTTTCAGCTTGAACATATTTTAGTTGGAGTAATCTCTGTCAGATATTATGTAGTATTGGTGTAATGATCCAGTTTGCAGGATTTTATGCTAAAGTTCATTTACTAATTTTTTAATTTTTGAAACTGGTAATATACTTATGTTTAAAAATGAAAAAAGTATAAGAAAGTATACAGTGAAAGGTATCTCCTGTCTTTCTTTGTTCCTTGCCCACTAAGTTCTCACTCTTGAGTCCCAATAAGTAGCTACTATGTTTTCCTTATGTGTAAATCTGGAGATATTTTATGTGTATATAAATAAATGTTTCTCCTTTTTGTTCAGTTGTCAGCCTAATGTACACAGTTCTGAACCCTGATTTGTGTTTATGTTTTGTAGAGCCATAACGACTGCTTTTAGATATTCATGAAATAAAGTTTAGTGCTTTGTTTTTTTTTATAGAAAACTTTTATTTAATAAATATAAATTCCAAAAGTACAACTTTTGGATTATATTGTTTTTTTTCCCTGTGCTCTGTTTTTTAATGTTGACACTTTCCATTCTGTCAAATCTTAAAACTCTGATTAGATGTTAAGGACTCCTATCTTCCTGTCCCCAAAGCTGTTTTCCAGTGGCATAGTATGTATCCTTGGATGGATATTCTGTAATTTATTGAGCAATCTATTTGTGAATATTTTAGATAAATTTTATTCTGCTGTAGTTCATACAGCATTGTGCTTAATAACTTTATATAGCCATAATTTCAGCAGATGCAAATATAATCTTAAGTTAAATTACTAGGAATGAGATGGACAGGTTAGAGAGTATATATACATTTGTAATGTTGATAGATATTATTCTTAAAAGGGTTTCATCATTTTGCACCTTTACAGTGTTTGAGCATTCTAGCAATCCTACATCCTTTTCAAAACAGCCTGTTATCAAACTTCTGTATTTACAGTAGGTGAAACATTAATTTTCTTTTACTTGGTGTAGTTTTGATTTGATTCTCTTTTTTGAGCCAGATTGAACTTAATTCTGTGTTAAGAAAAATTTATTTCTTATAAGAATTGTCAGTTCGTGTCTCTTGCCCAATTTTTATGGGATTGTTAGCCTTTTCTTTTTTTAAAAGATTTGTTTTATTTATTTGAAAGACCGAGTTACAGAGAAAAGAAGATAAGAGAGAGAGGTCTTCCATGTGCTGGTTCACTCCCCAAATGGCTGCAAGAGTTGGAGCGGAGCTGATCCAGAGCCAGGAGCCAGGAGCTTCTTCCGGGTCTCCCACATGGGTGCAGGGGCCCAAGGACTTGGGTCATCCTTTTTGCTTTCCCAGTCTTATTAGCAGGGAGCTAGATTGGAAATGGAGCAACTGGGACTTGAACCGGCGCCCATATGGGATGCTGCCTCTGTAGGTGGCGGCATTACCTGCTACGCCAGAGTGCTGGCCCCAGCTTTTTCTTAACAGTTTGTGGGAGTTTGGTTTACATTAGGGAAATTAACCCTTCATTATGAATTGAAAATATTTTTTTAAAAAGATTTTGTTTATTTGACAGGTAGAGTTACAGACAGTGAGAGAGAGAGATAGAGAGAAAGGTCTTCCTTCCGTTGGTTCACTCCCCAAATGGCTGCAATGGCTGGAGCTGTGCCGATCTGAATCCAGGAGCCAGGTGCTTCTTCCTGGTCTCCCATGCGGGTGCAGGGGCCAAAGCCCTTGGGCCATCTTCTACTGCTATCCCAGGCCACAGCAGAGAGCTGGACTGGAAGAGGAGCAACCAGAACTAGAACTGACACCCATACGGGATACCGGCGCCGTAGGCGGAGGATTAACCTAGTGCGCCACGGCGCCAGCCCCGAAAACATTTTTTCTACTTTCAGTTCTCTGATTTGATTTTTGATATGTTGACTTGCAAACATCTTTTTAAAAATGTGGCTGAATTTATCTAAATGTGTATCTAAATAATTGGAGACCCATTAGTCCAGTCTACACACTTGATTATTATATACAAGGCATTATTTTGAGGCCTCCAGTTCTAAGCTTCATTTCCCAGTATGCTTTTTGGTAGTACCAAATTCTACTCTAGCTTAGAGAATTTACTGTCTCCTGAAAGTGTCCTTTGTGCTTGTATGATTGTTGTATCTGCTCTTTTCTTTCCCTGGAGAATTTCTCCTTTCTCCCTAGTCTGGTAAAGAATCATTCATCTTTTGAGGGCCAGTTCAGACTTAACCAACCGTTCATTTCCCCCTTTACTACCTACAATTTACAAAACCTCAACAAACTCCCTTTCCCTTCCACTCAAGAGAAACCTTTCTAATGAAATGAACACCCTCAGAGAGTGACATTAAAACACCCTGACCTTCCTCTGAGACTAGAAAGGATAATAGAATTTGGGTAAAACAAATGAGTAGACTTCATGGAGAGGTAGTTGATGAATCAGGTCACACCTTTGTGGGATGTATTTGACTTTAATGTGGAAAAATCTACAAAAGAAGTGAAAATGCTTTATATACTCAACAGACAAGCCTGTAGTGATATTGTGCTCAATTTACTGTTGTAGTGAAATAGAAAACTTCCAAACTTGTTGAAAACTACTTGGAAAATAATTTATTTCAAGCTTTTTCTATTCGTATAATTCATTGGGATTCTAAGGAAGATTCATATTTTATTTATATCTCTCTCTCAATATCTGTTACAGGTTATATCTTAAGTGTTGTGCTGCTCACCTTGCCCAGGCAGCACCTGGTTCAGCTTTATCTCTATTTTTTGACTGCCCTGCTCCTCTATGCTGGTCATCAAATCTCCAGGTAAGAATGTGACCCCATCTTTAAAATATATCACTGAATATAAAATTTTTTCTTGCTAATAAGTACTTCCATAAACACCATTAAGAAGCTAAGGCTTTGGTAGGTATTCAAAAACAGTTTTATAAGTAAATATTAATCTACAGGATTAATATCTGGTGTGGTGCTCAGTTTTCACTCTTGAGATATCCCTGGTCTTAGACTCAGTCATGAAAACAAGTTAAGCTCTCTCTCTAGTATGCCTTTCCACTAAGCTTAAGTGGAAGTCCAGGGACCAATATGACACCAAGAACAGGATGTCTTCTCATTCCAATACTACCAGCCCCAAACCCTTCACAGTCTGTTCCTCTTTATGTTATGAGAGAGAGAGAGAGAGAGAGAGAGAGAGAGAGAGATATCTCACTTGAGTGACAGAAAATGAAAATGGTCCATGATTCCAGTTTTGAATGGAACACAGCTTCACTGGACCACTGTGAAGATTACCAGAAGTGCAGCACTATCCTGAGAGTTCCAGATTTTGCAACTTTGACATCAGAGGATATACCCTTGGTAGTGGCAGTAGCAGAAGTTGAAAGAGTTAAGACAACATCCTAAACTGATTTACCCCCTACCATGTGCAATGCCTGAGACTGGGCTAGGCCAAAGCCGGGAACTGGGAACTCAATGCAGGGTTCCCACTTGGATGGTAGAAACCTAATTGCTTGAGACATCACTGCTGCTTGCTAGGGTTTATATTAGCAGGAAACTGGAATTGGGAGTTGGAGCTGAAAATTGAACCTAGACACTTTGATATGAAATGTAGGGTTGTTAACCACTAGGGCAAATGCCTGCCCCTATTTATCCATTTTAAATAAATTTTCTATCTGTAGAGTTAGGGTCTAGGCTGTGGAGTCAACATTACAGTATGTGTCAGTGTCTGGGCACCTAAGAGCCACTAAGATCTTGGATCGATGAGTGGGTGGTTGGATAGGTCTGAATTCAAGACCCCTTGTTTGCTACTACATAAACTTGAGTTTTACTTACTGGAAATGTAACCTTAATTTCATCACTTAAGCAGTTGTAAGATCCGGTAAGTTGACATGTGTAAAGCTCTTAACACAATTTCTGACACATAGTAAACGCTCAGTGAATTTTAACATTCTTAATGTCTTATTTTAGAACACAAGAATATTTTGTGAACATATTCTTAGGTGTTAGTATTTTAAACAACAATTTTTAAAATGTTAGTATACCATGGTATATCTATATAATGATAGCTTTTTAGAGTTAATATTTTTTTTTAAGATTTATTTTATTTATTTCAAAGACAAAATTAGAGAGAGAGGTAGAGACAGAGAGAGGTGTTCCATGGCTTTAACCTGCTGTGCCACAGTGCCGGCCCCTGAGTTGATACAGTTTTGATGAGCAATCAGGAAAATCTCAGTGTTCAAGGAAAGAGCTATTACAATTGTAGCTTTTATTACACTTATAATTTTGGATGAAAAACTATGATCCGGCCTTTTCCTTCATGGTCTTTTTGGTTTCCATGTGGTTTAGTGATGTAGTGATGGCTAAAACCATGTAGCTCTATATTTACAGTGCTACATTCCAGGAGTTTCCAGAGAGGCCAAAACTCCATTTTGCAAGGAAAAAGGGGACTCAAGTAGTCAAAGGGTTTATAAAAAAAAAAGCTTTCTTCTCACCATTGTTTTTGTGGTAGTTTCAGTTTTTACCCTAATGTTTAAAGGTTGCTGTCATTACTAGGAAATTTAAACATATTTTAAACAAAAAAAATTTTAAATAAACTTTTGTAGTGGATAAAACACTTCTTGTTCCTCTTTCATTTTGATCATTATTCAGTCCTTTGAGGTTTGCAGATGAAAAAACTCAAGTGCATACACTGGAAGAAAAAATCCCAGATTTTAACCTGAATCCAGGTTTGTTTGTTTTTTAAAGATTTATTTATTTATTTGAAAGAGTTACACAGAGAGAGGAGAGGCAGAGAGAGAGAGGTCTTCTGTCCGATGGTTCACTCCCCAGCTGACCGCAACAGCCAGAGCTGTGCCAATCTGAAGCCAGGAGCAAGGAGCTTCCTCCGGGTCTCCCACGCAGGTGCAGGGACCCAAGGAGTTGGGCCGTCCTCTACTGCTTTCCCAGGCCACAGCAGAGAGCTGGATTGGAAGAGGAACAGCCGGGACTAGAACCGGTGCCCATATGGGCTGCCTGTGCTTCAGGCTAGGGCGTTAACCAGCTGCGCCACAGTGCTGGCCCCTGAATCCAGGTTTTTTAATTCCTAGTTTAGTCCTGTAAGGGAGGCAGCATGCTTAGTGGAAAGAAAATCATTTCTATTTTTATTTTATTTATTTTTAAAATAAACATCTTTATAAATTTTTGTTGTTGTTTATTTTAATTATTTGGAAGGCAGGGAGAGAGAATCTCTCCTTCTGATTCACTTCCCAGATAGCTGTGAGAGCCAGGATTGGATAGGCTGAAGCTTAGAGATGGGAACTCCTTCCGGGTCTCAAATGTGGGTGTCAGGAATACAAATACTTGAGCTGTCAGATCTGCCTCTCAGGATGCACAATAGTAGGAAGCTGGACTCCAGCCCACACCCTTCAATATGGGATTTATGTTTCCCAGGCAGCCTCTATGTCCCAAGTAGTATCTTAGCCACTGAGCTAAACAGTTGCCCTGAAAATCTGTTTTGGAATCAGACTAAGTATGGAATTGTTTCCCTGTGTAGTAAATATGTTACCTCAGCAAGTTACTTCTTTGTAACTATAGACTGTGTATCTTACGGACTTTGTTTTGTATTGAATGAATGAATGAATTTTCATGTTAGTATAATTTCTACTACAAAGTATAAATATATAATTTATATAATAATATAATTTGTCTCACAAAAAGATAGTAAAAACATGCTATCCTTGAATTACTTGCCATATCACAGAATAAATACTGAGATTTGTACATATCACATTTATAGGATAGTGAGGTTGAACTTCTTAGTTTTTAAAAAAATAATGGTTCAGATTGCATATGACAACTTCCTAACCAAGTATCTTTTTAAAAAAATAACAGCTTTATTTAGGTATAATTCATATATCTGTTTAAGTATACAGCTTAGTGAGTTTTAGTGTATTCACAGAGTTGGACAAACCGTCACCACAGTAAATCTTGCAAGATTTTCATCACCCCAAAAAGAAACCACTTCCCCATTAGTGTATTTGTCTGTATATATTATTTATATCTACCTATCTAATCTATCTGGTTTTTGAACATATGTTCCTTTTTGTTTGCCTGTACTGGGAAAGGTAAATTGGAGGGTTCATTACTTTCTTGCATGGGGACGTCATTCGGGTTTCTTTGGCTTTGGAGTTAACATTGCTTGAAAGCTAGCGTAAATGGCCACAATGTACAGATTGTCCCTAGGTTGTTTAGTGCCTGAGTCAGAGTGTGTAAGAGACTGCTGTCAATACAGGTCTTTCCTCAGCTGGTGAAGTAGTAAGCTCCTAGGGGTTTTCTTTTTGTCATTTAAATTCTATAGCTTATATCTTTCTCTGTGTACCAAGAATTTTTTAATTGCAAGTTGTGGTTGAGGCCCTTCTCATATCTTCCATAACTGTTATGCCCAAATGATTTCAATCAAAAGAGAAGGAAAGTAGATTTGAGAAGTGTTTATTGTATTAGTACTCAGGGCTGTTAGCATTCTACAAATTGTGCGACTGAAGAAAGAGGTTTGAGAAGGAAAAGATTTAATTTAGTTACAAGTAGAATTACAGGAATTCTTGCTTCTGATCATCATAATTAATGTATTTTACGATTTTAAATCCTCTAAATTGAAAAACTGTAATGTCCTTCTTGAACAGCTCATTGAAATAAAATGTTAAAATGTAGAACTTTGTGACTTTGCCTCAAGCTAATTATTGGTCTAAAATAATGTGATGGAATATTGGATAAATCCATCTTTGGATCCTTCGTATTTAGGCTTGCTGTCTTGTTTTTATCTTGTGAGTGAGTCTCACAAGACTCACAAGACTGAATAACCAAGAGTTCTCATTGTCAGCGTGAGATGTCCCAAAGATGTCCATAAGTTAGAATAGAGATCTTTGTTAGCATTGATCCTTATTTCAGTTCTCTGCAGTTTGGGATGCGATGCCCAAATTCTCCTTTCAGAGGAGAGAGTGTATAGGGGCTGCATGGGTGTACTAGGTAGTTTGACTCCCATCAAAACCATTCCCCTGGTTCTGGCAAGCAAAGCCCAGCTGGTCCAGTGAAGTCTGCAGGCTTTTTGGGCCTGGCTGTCGTTACTGAAATGGGGCTTATTGAGGAGTCAGCCAGAAGAACTGTCTTGAGAGAGAGGAATTAGGCAATGAGGCACGGGCCAAGAATCCTAGTGGAAATATTAATTTCCAGGGTAAGGTAATTGATACAGATACTTAGATTGGACAGGAATGAAGAATGTTGGGGAAGCGCTGTTTTGGGGGTTCTAGAAGAGGACAAAATATGAGAGCCAGAGGGAGGAAGCTGCTTAATTAACATCAAGGTGTTCTCATTGTGGCCAAAAGATTGATTATTATTCTGAGATGCAGTCCTCCCTTAGTGTCCTATAATCACAACAAATTACAAAGTATTGAATATAGAGAGAATGAAAGAGAACTACACGTAAAATAGAAAGGTTTAGAAAGTTAAGAGGAGGCTTGAGTAACGAAAGAATGGAAAAGATAAGGAAGTAGTTACATTAAAACCTTATTTATATAACCCAATGAAATAGATTGATAAATAAAATATGTACTTGTGATAAAAGAAAGGCAGCTAAAACTGATTAAGAACCTGGAAATGTTGAGAAGAAAGATAAATTTTTCAGTATAGCTATGAACTGAAAAGTGAACTCTTTTTAAAAACAGTAAAATGGGAGTGGGTGTTTAGCCCAGCAATTAAGATGCCTATATCCCATAATGCAGTATGTGGATTTTGAGTCCTAGCTCTATCTCTGGAATCCTAGCTTTCTGCCAGTGCAGACCCTGGGAGTAAACAGTGATGGCTGAAGTTGTTGGATTCTTGCCACCCATCTGAGAGACCTGAATTGAGTTCTTGTCTCCTAACTTTGGCTCTAGCCCAGCCTGCCCAATGCTGATCATTTGGGAAATGAACCAACAGATGGAAGATTGCTTTTTGTGTCTCTTTATGTCTGAAATAAAAATTTTTAAGAAGCCTTTCAAAGTCCTCACAACAGTCTCTATTTTTTCTTTATAATGCTTACCACAATTGTAAGGATAAGTATTGTCTGCCCTCCTGGTTTGTGAGCTGCATGCTCATGGACATGTCTTGTTTACTGTAGTCTTCAGGCCCTGGTGAAGATGATTTCAGCATTTTATGTGTACAGTAATTCCTTTTTGAGTTAAAAAAAAGTAATTAGAGAGTGGTGGGGGTTGTACAGCAGGTTAAACTGCTGTTTGAGATGTCTACATCTCATATTAGAACACCTGCAATTAAGTCCCACCCAGTTGAGTTTGCTGCTTGTGTGTGTAGGAGGCAGAGATGATGGCCCACGTCCTTGGATTCTTGGCACCAGTGTGAGACCTAGATGGAGTTCCTGGCTCCTGGCTTTTTCCTGATGTAGCCCAGCAGACATCTGGGGATTGAACCAGCAGATGGAAGATTGATTTCTCTCTGTCTCTTCCTTTGTCTTTGTCATTCTGCCTTTTCAATAAATAAATAAAAATTAGAATTTTAATTTTCCTTGAGATAAACTCTAAAGACATGCTTTATAAATGAAGAAAAACTAAAAGAGGCGATGAAATAATGCAGAACAATTAACAAATGTCTCAGAAGTAAGAAATTCTAGAATAATGCTGAGTTTGCTGAGTTGTAATACAAAACATCAGTAATATGTCAGAAGCAATCTGGAGAAAGAAAAGATGGCAGGTACCTCACTTTTGTCTCACCTAGGCCTTCACTAAGGGCCCTGGGACTGAGGCCCTTCTGAGATACTTGTTTTTGGCTTCTCCTTGGGAATAGTGCTCCTGTACATATCACCCCCCCCCATTATTTAGGATAAAATTCATGTAACATAAAGTTAACCATTTTTAAGTAAATAACTCAGTGGCATATAGTACATTATGTTGTGTCACTGTCAGCTGTATTACTTTATCACCACCACCAAATGAAACCCAGTGCCTGTTAAGCAGTTACTTTCATTTCCCCCAGCCCCTGGCAACCACTGATCTGCTTTCTGTTTTTTTGGGTTTTCCCTGGTCTCTGTTGAAGAGGGGTATGTCATAGCCTAAAAGAAATTACTGGACTTTCCAGGCCTAAGTATGATTTGGTTTCAGGATTATATCTCTTTTAAATATAAATTTTAATTTAAAGGACTTTGTAAGTAGTAATGGCGTTTATATTTATGCCTTATTTTAAATTTTAATGTTTTAGCTTTCTATCTTAAAACTGTAAAATGTAATAGTTGCATTGATGGTTACAGATACTTATGTGTTACTTGTACATTTTGTGCCTTTCTACCTTAAAATAGGGTTATTCAAGTGCTATAGGATTGACACTTTGGACCTGGTAATGCTGGGGGCTGCCTTGTGCATGGTGGGATGTGTGCGGATGTTCCCAGACATTGCTTAATATCCCTTCAAAAATTGCCTGGGGTTAAGTCATGACATTGAAGTCATTCTTCTTGCGAATGTTGCTTTCTCTTTGAGTAGAGGGAGATTATTAATACAATGTGTGTTAGCTGTAGTCATAAAGTGATAAAGGAGGGTTGCTAGATTACCTGTGAGCTTAATCATTGATTTCTCTAATCATACCCAAAACTGTTCCCAATTTTTAAGAAAAAATTCTTATAGTTTTGATTTTTTTGGGGGGGGCAGTACTTCCCCAGTGGATTATATAAAGTTCTTTCGATTTTGGCTGTGCTATGCCAAAGGAATTCAGCTTGATTGCCTAATAGGAAGTAATTTCCTGGAAAAAGTAAATACATCTCTATGAGTTTATTCAGAAATACTTGAAATATTCAAGCTGTTTTAAAATACAGTGAATAAAGCATTGAACAGCTGAAGAAAAAAAGAATTTTTTTCCCACAAATTTCCCTTTGGTGCCAAAAGAATTCAAGACAGCAGTCTTCCAGTGCTGCCAGTTAACTTACTGATGATAAATTAAGTTCTCCCTTTTGTGTTTCTCGCCTATGTCTCCTTAGAGTGTAAAAGGCTTTTTGGTTACTACTTACAGCTAATTGTTTCTTAGTAGTCACATGTCAGATGAATTAAAAGGAATAATTTGTTTGATCTATAGGTCATTTCAAAATAGATTTGTAGCCTACTTAGATATTCTCATCAGAGATTCCCTATAAAATTGAAATGACAGTTTTTAAGTATTGCCCTGCTCTAAACCAGTTTTCTACCTGTTGTTCAGTTTTATCTGTAACAGAATATAACTGGGGACAAAATTGGGGGGGAAATAGGAGAGTGCAACTGGAAGAAAGATGAAAGAGATGGGGCCAGCGCCGTAGCTCACTAGGTTAATTTTCCGCCTTGCAGTGCTGGCATCCCATATGGGTGCCGGGTTCTAGTCCCAGTTGCTCTCTTCCAGTCCAGCTCTCTGCTGTGGCCCAGGAAGGCAATGGAGGATGGCCCAAGTGCTTGGACCCTGCACCCGCATGGGAGACCAGGAAGAGGCTTCTGGCTTCAGATCGGCACAGCACCGGCCGTAGTGGCCATTTGGGGAGTGAACCAACAGAAGGAAAACCTTTCTCTGTCTCTCTCTGTCACTGTCTAACTCTGTCTATCAAATTAAAAAAAAAAAAAAAGGATGAAAGAGGGGCAATTTGATGATTATCATTAGGTATTACCAGTTATGCAGTGAAGTTGAGAGATGATGTCTCAGTACTGACTTTTGCTGGGCATAAAGTAATTTAAGGAATCCTGAGAGGAAACAAAATTTCAAACAGCGTAGCTTTAGCAGCTGTCTGTGCATAGTAGAATTGTTTCAATAATGTCTGTTTTTAGTGCATGGCAGATGGAGTTTCTATATAATTCTTTATACCTAAATTTTTCTTCACATGTTAAAAGAGGCATTTTTTTTAAGATTTATTTATTTATTTGAAAGAGTTACACAGAGAGAGGAGAGGCAGAGAGAGAGAGGTCTTCTGCCCAGTTTTTTTCCTTCGTATATGCTTGGAATATATATAATACCTTCTTGTATATCTTTCTTATTCAGGGACTATGTTAGGAGTGAACTGGAATCTGCTTATGAAGGACCAATGTACTTAGAACCTCTTTCCATGAATCGGTTTACCACAGCCTTGATAGGTAAGTGTTGTAAAAGAATTAATAGTGCAGATTGGAGCCAACAGCCCCATCATTGCCTTATAAAATTGGTGCACTCTTGCTTAAAATTAGAAAACTTAGTTGTTCATTGAGCTCTTTCCCAGTACAACTATTGCTTAATGTTACATTTTCTCAGTTTTTTCCTCATGCATAAATGCTTCTTAGTTTATGCATTTGTAATCATATTGTACATACTTCATAGTTGTGTGTGTGTGTGTGTGTTTAAGGCTATTTTAAGTATTCAAGAGTATTAATTTTTAAGCAGACTCTTACTTTGAAAGATTAAACTGAAATACATAATATCTTAAATTTACTTATTGAAAGCTATCACCACATTGTTAAAAGTAAGTTGCCAGAAACATCAAGAATTTGAGGTAGGATTGTAATACCCAGGTAGCAGAATGTTAAAAGTACAAGTGTTGGTAAAGATCTAAAAATAATACAGATAGAGTTCAAAGTGAGGTACCAAGCCCCTACTTTGCCAGAGGTTCAGAAAAGGAAGTGAGAGAAAACCTTTTTTGTGACTCTTGAACTCACCCATGTAGAAGGGCATTAAAGGGTTGAATATTGGGGCTGACGTGGCGTAGCTGGTTAAGCCACCAACTGCAGTCCCAGCATCCCATATGGGCACTGATTTGAGTCCCAGTGGCTCCACTTCCCACCCTGTTCCTGGCTGAGGCACCTGGGAAAGCAACCAAAGATGGGCCAAATACCTGGGCCCCTGCCACCTGTATGGAAGACCTGTATGAAGCTCCTGGCTTCACCTTGGCCCACCCCTGGTTGTTGTGGCCATTTGGGGAGTGAACCACCAGATGGAGGCTATCTCTCTATATATCTATATCTATATATCTATCTATATCTATATATCTATCTATAGATAGATATATATATCTCTATATATATCTATATCTATATATATATCTGCCTCTCTGCAACTTCTTTTCAAATAATTTTTAAAAATTACAACTTTTTAAAAGGTTGAATGTTGGACATTGAAGGAGAATTTCTTTAGAGCAAGCCTTTTTTTTTTTTTTTTTTAAAAACCTCCACATGACTACATCTAGAGATTTGGTGTTTGAAGAGTCCCATCTGGTGTCTGATGCAAGCCTATAGACTAAAGCTGCACTGTCCAGGCAAGCCATGGGTGGGTTAAATACTTGAGATGTACTGTGCATGTAACACACATGCCTAATTCCTAAGACAGTATAAATTATCTTGTTAATTTTTATAGAGATTGAGTATCTTACTGGTCATATTTGGGATTTGTTAAGTTATAAAAATGCATGGTGGTGTCCTAGAAAACTTAAAATTATATATGTGACCTGTATTATATTTCTAGTCTTTTTTTTTATTTATTTTTTTTATTTTTTTTATTTTTTTTATTTATTTTTTTATTTTTTGACAGGCAGAGTGGACAGTGAGAGAGAGAGACAGAGAGAAAGGTCTTCCTTTGCCGTTGGTTCACCCTCCAATGGCCGCCGCGGCCGGCGCGCTGCGGCCGGCGCACCCCGCCGATCCGATGGCAGGAGCCAGGAGCCAGGTGCTTTTCCTGGTCTCCCATGGGGTGCAGGGCCCAAGCACCTGGGCCATCCTCCACTGCACTCCCTGGCCACAGCAGAGAGCTGGCCTGGAAGAGGGGCAACCGGGACAGAATCCAGTGCCCCGACCGGGACTAGAACCCGGTGTGCCGGCGCCGCTAGGCAGAGGATTAGCCTAGTGAGCCGCGGCGCCGGCCTATTTCTAGTCTTATATACAGGGGTAGCAAGGAACTGGCTGCTTTTTGAGTGTTTTGACTGTGGAGTGAAAATGCCCTCTAATGCTTTACTGTACTTCATAATTGTGGAGATAAAGGATGTGAGTTTCCAGTGGAGTAGATAAGGGCCTCGAAGTCTGTGGGATTTCTCAGGTCTTGTTCAAGAGATAGGTATAAGACCCTGACAGGGATTGAGCTCCCAGATTTCCAGGAGCTGAGAAAATAACCAAAAAGAGCCAAAGGAGGTTGTGTACCATGCATCAAGGGTATGGCAGTGATCGGAACAATCCCAGAAGAACCCATCAAAGTGCCCAGGAAAAAGATCAGCTTTAAATACCTGAAGTCCAGGGAGTCAGTTCCATATCACTATAAGAATCCAGTCACGAATGAACTTCACTACTTTTGTCCCTTTCTTCCTTCCCTCTCTGCTCCAGTCCTGGGTGATTTTGAGAGAGAAGGAGATGTGCTAGGTTGAGGAGAATGCCAACCACAACCACTCTACCCTCTCCCAGTTGCAGGTTTCTATCTGTAGTCTCACAGGAGGCCTGAACTCGAATAAGGAAGTCCCAGTTTCAAGTCAGTTCCAAAGTTTTGTTTCTTATTAGATTGAGACTGTATTGTATGCTAGACTAAAGAAATTGCAGGGCTTTCCAGTAGAACCAGCTAAATTTATGTCAGTGGGAGACAGAAATACATGTTGCTTTATGACCATATCCCGTGAGTTAATGTATTTAATAATATTATTCAGCTATGAAATTATTTGCTAGATATTTGAAAATATTTTGCTAGGAAGTTTATAAAGTTTTCTTTTGTGATGGATGCACTTTTCTGTAAATCTGAGGGTTATTTCTTTAAATTCTTCTTATCAGTGGTCATGGCCATCTGTTTACTCAATTAAATTTAAATTAATTAAAAATTAAATAAATCCATAAACTGTTAAGTAGTGTGTTTCCTTCCAGTTTTGCTTTTAATATAAATTCCTACTCATTTTTTTCCATTTCAGTAATAACCTTAATAAGAAAGAAAATAAACAGGCAAGTTGAATATGCCATAATTTCTTAGAGTGTTACAAACTCAGAGATACTTCTAATAGTGGAGTGCTGAAATCCAAAGAATATGTTGTGATTTTGATTTGGTTGAAATTAGCATTTGGAATAGGCACATCAAAAACAAACAGCTTCTTTCAGAGCTACAGGGGAGATTCCACTCATAACAGGACTCCTTCCTTCTTCCACCGACGTGATCGGATGACTAGCCTTCTCTTTGGGAGAATGTGTCCATGTGCCCTGTGAGTCACATTCTTCTGTGAAGGAAGATAAATGAAGCCCGTAACCCCAGAGCCGAGCACTGCCTGTGCTGGCGTGGACTTAGGGGAATTTTCAGAGTTTAGAGGAAGTTCACATCATGCTGAACAAGGAAATTTAAGCCTCAAAGCTCTTAGTAGAGTGAAAGTAAGAGATGCCAGAATGACAGTTCTTCATTCCTAGTTCCAAACATCTCATCCAAGTATTTCCTTTCAGACTTTTAACTTTTCTAATTTTTAGTTTTTTTATCAAAGAAATACACTCACTTCTTCTTCTTCTTCTTTTTTTTTTTTTTTTTTTTGTTTGACAGGCAGAGTGGACAGAGAGACAGAGAGAAAGGTCTTCCTTTTGCCATTGGTTCATCCTCCAATGGCCGCCACGGCTGGCGCACTGCGCTGATCCGATGGCAGGAGCCAGGTACTTATCCTGGTCTCCCATGGGGTGCAGGGCCCAAGTACTTGGGCCATCCTCCACTGCACTCCCTGGCCACAGCAGAGAGCTGGCCTGGAAGAGGGGCAACCGGGACAGAATCCAGCGCCCCAACCGGGACTAGAACCCGGTGTGCCAGCGCCGCTAGGTGGAGGATTAGCTTAGTGAGCCGTGGCACCGGCTAGAAATACACTTCTAAAAGTTAAGAAATACCACAATTTTATGAAAGAAATCTGCTTTTTCCTATGTCACCCTTCCTCATTTTCAGGTGTAAATTTTTTTTTTGAAAGATTTATTTCTTTGAAAGAGTTATAGAGAGAGGTAGAGACAGAGAGAGAGGGGTCTTCAGTCTGATGGTTCACTCCACAAATGGCCGCAGTGGCTAGAGCTGAGCTGATCAGAGCCAGGAACTTCTTTGGGATCTCCCATGTGAATGCAGGGGCATAAGGACTTGGGCCATCTTCCACTGCCTTCCCAGACACATTAGCAGAGAGCTGGATCTGAAGTGGAGCATCTGGGACTGGAACCGGTGCTCATATAGGATGCCAGTGCTGCAGGCTGGGGCTTTAACCCACTGCACCACAGTGCCAGCCCCTCATTTATCTTTTTGAAAGCTTTACCAATTTTTTTTTATTTGAAACAGAGAGGGACAAAAAGATCTTACATCAGCTGGTTTTGAGACAACTGGCTAAACATTTTGAAAAACATACTTAGATCTTTATACCTTATTCAAAAATAAAAATAACAAAGATATTTCAAAAAGTTTTTGAAAAACTATGCATGGATTTCAAATTTTTTTTACGCCAAAATAACCTTTATTCAACTCATTTATCCCCTGAACTTTTTAAAACCCTCTCATAGGTGGGACTTGTCTAATCTTGAGTAGGGCACTATATAGTAAACCATAGCACCAAAGATGGAAAACATTGACTAGTTTGACTATTTTCGATAGAAACTTCTAGAAGAGAATGAAGTTACTGAAAATACTAAGGCAAGTGACACCATGGAAAATATGGTCATTGGTGACAAAAGATTAATATCTTGATCAAATGTGGGATACATGCTAATGGGCAGAGAATATAAAGAAACACTTAACTGATATTTTTACATACCTACTGGTATTGTTTGGTCCCACTGGTAACCAATAAAAATTAAGCATTTTAAAAAACTTTAAAAATATTCCTGTTCTTCCTCTATCAAAATTGTACTTACTGTTGGCATGTCAGTAGGAAAATGGTAAAAATACAAGGTTAGTTGTTTCTGGAGAACAGACTGTATGCATTGACTTCAAACTGCATGCAATGACTTCAAAATTTTTTTACATTGAAATCATTTTATCATTTAATCCTACTTGTCCATGAACTTTTTGAAATATCCTTATATTGTGTTACATAATTCAGTATAATGTATCACACAACTATTAATACCCATGTATAATAAATGCTAATATATGTATATTAATGTGGAAAGATAAATGCAATTGTAGTGAACAAGAAAAGCTCATTATAGTATATACCTGTGGTGTTCATATGGAATGTAATTATGCCAGATCAAATTGAAATTTGATTTAAAATATTATCCAGGGTTGGGCATATAGCATAATGGTTGGATTGCTGGTTGGGATGCCTGCATCATGAGTCAGAGTGCTTTATTTGAGTTCCAGCTCCTCTGCTTCTGATCCAGCTTCCCACTGGTGTGTGCCCCAGGAGACAGTCATGATGACTCAAGTGAGACCCAGTTTGAATTTTGGGCTCCTGGCTTTGGCCTGGCCTGGCCTGGCTGTTATAGGCAATTTGAGGGTGAAACCATGGATGGAGGATCTCTCTGTGTTACTTTCTCTCTCTCTCTCTCTCTCTCTCTCTCTCTGCCTTTGCTTTTGCCTTTGCCTTTGCCTTTGCCTTTGCCTTTCAAATAAAATGAAAAATAAATAAGAATTTAAAAGCATATATTATCTGGCAGTTGTAGACGTCTTAAAGCTGTGTGATTATCCTTGTCAGCAGTGTTTTTGGTTTGTTTTTATTTTGTGGATACCAAATACTCAAAATTCAATGCATTCTGTTTCGTATTTTAGGTCAGTTGGTGGTATGTACTTTATGCTCCTGTGTCATGAAAACGAAGCAGATTTGGCTCTTTTCAGCTCACATGCTTCCTCTGCTAGCACGACTCTGCCTTGTTCCTCTGGAAACAATTGTTATCATCAACAAATTTGCTATGATTTTTACTGGATTGGAAGTTCTCTATTTTCTTGGGTCTAATCTTTTAGTACCTTATAACCTTGCTAAATCTGCATACAGAGAATTGGTTCAGGTAAGCCAGACATATATAGATAAAATTCTACGTCAATATTGAGTACATTAAAGATCTAGTTCATTTTTATTTCATGATCGTAGTTATGGTAACTGTTTTTTACAGTTTCAAACCAGCAGGTATTGTCAACTCAGTTATGAGTGTCTGAGGTTCTTGCGTTGAGAAGGCAGCAGAGTGAAGTGTCTGGGAACCCAGTGTCTGGGTCCCCATCCTAATGCTGCTGTCTCCCAGCTCTGTAACCTTAGAACAGATCACAGTTTCATTTTCTGTAAAATGGAGCTAATAATAACAGCATTGTACTTTCATGGGGTTGCTGTGAGATTTAGATGAATTCAGTTACAGGCAGATAATGTTCAGTATGTGAGAGCTGTTGTAATGAAGACAAAAATAATAAATACCCAAGAGGTCAGCGCCTAGGTTTTCTCCTGATTATAGTCCACTATGACTACACTTTCATCCTTTTGTTTACCTAATTTATTTAAACTGAAAAGTTAAATAGTTCTGGGTTATGATATGATAGCTTTTGTTTTAATATAATACTTGAACAGACTTTGCCAATAGAACATGCCTCTTACAATATAACCTCTCCCCTACTTTTTCAGCCTTTACATTAGGACAGATTATTCCCAGAGACAAACAATAGACACTTGGGAGATGAATGTTTTATTTAACTGTTGAATTTCAGCATATAAAAGATACCCTCTCTTCTGTCTCTTGACTGTGTATATGCCCTTAAGGGTACAGGAAGTGCTCAGATTGACCAAACTGATATTGCTAAATGAGATGTTCTCTTGTGGCCCCAGGAGCAGAAAAAAGTTTCTTAAGCACTTGACCGTAGCCTAATTCTACCTTCTTTCCTCATATACAACTCTTAACCTGGGTGGCTTTCCCAGAAAAGTATTCCAAAGAAGAGGAGGTTATTTCCACACTCTCAGTGAAGAGCCACTTCACTAGTAGAGATTGTAGTTGTATTCAGAGTAAGAGCCACACATTTCAGATTTATATTTTTTCTTTGAATTCAGTCTTGGGGAACTATCCTTGTTTGTAATAAACAGTACATAGTCAGTAAATATTTATTGACTGCTAAATATTTATTTAATAACCATAAAAACAAAGCCTCCATTTTTCAATGTCATGTTTACTCTTGTTTGCCGAAAGATTGGTGTGTCATAGGTGTGGTTGAAAATAAATTATAGGCTTGGCTAATCCTCTGCCTGCGGCGCCGGCACCCCGGTTTCTAGTCCTGGTTGGGGCGCTGGGTAGTCCCGGTTGTTCCTCTTCCAGTCCAGCTCTGTGCTGTGGCCCGGGAGGGCAGTGGAGGATGGCCCAGGTCCTTGGGCCCTGCACCCGCGTGGGAGACCAGGAGGAAGTACCTGGCTCCTGGCTTCGGATCGGCGCAGCGCCAGCTGTAGCGGCCATTTGGGGAGTGAACCAACAGAAGGAAGGCCTTTCTCTCTCTCTCACTGTCTACAACTCTCTCTCTGTCTCTCTCTCTCACTGTCTAACTCTGCCTGACAAAAAAATAAATAAATAAAATAAATTATAGGTTCTGAAATTTGTGACTTGGAAAAAATTGGATAAGCAAGATGTGGAAACAGGTTTTTTACTGGTCTCTTCCTTGAATGGAAAGGGAGAGAAGTCCTGTCTCAGCCTCAATGATCAGTTTGCCTCTAATAATAATTTTACAGCTATTTGGGCAATTTGCTTTTTGCAAATATTTTCTAGTTGTGGAAAATACAGGTTAATTGTGACTGTGTTGTAGAAATACTATTTACTGGACTGGTGAAAACATTTTAAATGTGGAATAATATGCACATTAATGTATTTTGACTTAATAATTAAAGACCTTTATAGCTTATTGAAGCATTCCAGTGTCGCCCTGAGAGAAAGATTCCAGCAGGACCAGTGCTGTTTGTAGGCTGCCTGGATAAACCCTGCTATTTCCAGGGTCTGTTCATTCTTAGTAGCTCTGGAAACTTGGTTACTTCTAGGATCTGAGGGAGAATCAGATTCTAGCAATTTATTCTTTTTTTTTTTAACTTTTATTTAGTAGATATAAATTTCCAAAGTACAGTTTATGGATTACAATGGCTTTTTTTAGTCAGTTTTATGAGAGATTATTTTATAAAAGCTGAGAAACCAATTCATTGAGTTATAGTACACTACAGCCTTTTTCCTGATATTAATGTACTTGGCAAACCAAATAAGCTGAGTGGTATCACAGCTGGAGTGAGGGCCATTGATTTGTCTGGGGGAAAAGACTTGCTTGCTGTCTTTGTTTTCTAACAGAGTACACTTCTCCAGTGACTCTGTCTTCTGTGGAACTATTTCTCAACTGTGATAGTCCTGAGTAAACCCTGAAAAATTCTTACTTTTCTATTTTCCTTTTTCTTTGCCTCTCAAGAATAATTCTGTCATTCACACTAGTCGTAAGTCTTTCGATTAGACATACATATTTACTCATATCTCCTCACACTACTTTAAGGTAGTTTCTGACCTTATTTTGACTTTACCCCTAAAATATTAGGACAGTTTGCCATTGTCACTAGGTGAGTATGTATGTTAGTTGTTAATAATAATGCAAATTAATAAAACTTTAAAAGCGTGTTGTTTACTATGTATAGAACTAAAGTGATTTAGCTGGAGCAATTTTGCAAAAAGAAGAAAACCTATTTAAATTTTCACTTTATGTATTTAAGCTAACTTTGAAGGATTTAAAAGTGTTAATTAAAGATGATGCAAGTTTTTGTTTTTTGTGGTTTTTTTTTTTTTGGTCTTATTTTCTTGTTCAGGTAGTGGAGGTCTATGGCCTTCTTGCATTGGGAATGTCCCTGTGGAATCAACTGGTCGTCCCAGTTCTTTTTATGGTTTTTTGGCTCGTCTTATTTGCTCTTCAGATTTACTCCTATTTCAGTACTCGGGATCAGCCTGCCTCACGGGAGCGGCTTCTCTTCCTTTTTCTGACAAGGTAATTAAGAGCCTGTGATAACTTATATACGTGTATAAGGAAGAAAAAACTTTGATCTGGGAATAGTCAATTTGGAAATTACTTTTATTGGTCATATTACACTACTTCATAATTAATGAGGATAAGATTTTTACTTAGTGGACACCTGAGGTGGCAATCTGGGGAACTGCTAATATAGTTCGGATGGTACCTTTGTGCTTTGAGCCAAAGTGCAGCAAATGACTTAAGGAAAGGCACACAGTGGGTTGTAAAACTAATTTTTTTTTTCAATTTCAAGTTAAATTTTTGGGTCATTAAGTGAAAAGTGTTACAAAATAGCTATCATTTATTATTTAATGTACTCATTACTATTAAACACTCTCCCTCACATTTGGTCTTCACAGCAACCCTGAGAGATAGGTGCTTTTTTATAATTACCATTTTACAGCTAAGGAAACTATTAGAAGTTAACTTGCCTGGATGATATTGCTGTAAGAAGTATAGCTGATGCTCAATCTACTGTGAATTCAAAACCATTTGCTCTCACTGTGTCCTCTTATTTTTAAGTTTTACTTTAATGTTGAGATAGAGTCAAGTAATTAATGAAATGGGTATGTCATGGTACTTCACTGTTTTCACTCAAAAGAATTTAAGGTTTGGTTTTTCAAATTTAATTTGTTTTTAAGTCTTTATAGTTATTGGAGTCCTTTTTCCACTTTAGTGTCTTTATTATAAGGTTATGGTAGGATCCATGTTTGTCATTCTTTTTTTTTTTTTTCCTAAAGATCTATTTATTTGAAAGTTAGAGTTACAGAGAGAGGAAGAGAGAGAGAGAGAGAGATGTTCCACCTGCTGTTTTACTCCCCAGCTAGCTGCAACCGCCAAGGCTGGGCCAGGCCGAAGCCAGGAGGTTCATCCAAGCTCCCACATGGTGGCAGGACCCAAACACTTGGGCCATCTTCTGCTACTCTTGACATGGAGCTGCATGGAAAGTGGAGCAGCCAGGACACAAAGCAGCACCCACATGGGATGCTGTTGTCTCAGGCTGCAGCTTTACCTGTTATGCCAGTCCCACATTTGTCATTCTTCCACTCTGAATTTCAAGCCCTCAGAATGTAGTACAAGGCATACATATTGTGTCCCTGACTCATTGTCACTTTATAAAAGGTAAGAATGAAAGTCTGTCTTCTTGCAAAGTAATTATATGAATACCTGAATAAAAATTTCAAGTTCTAGTTACTAAGGCTATTGTTTTTTCAACCATCCAGTATTGAAGGACTGTGTACTAAGTGGCAAGGGAATGAATAAGACATTTAAGACAAATTAACTGTCCTTAAGGACCATGTTACTAAGATGGAAAACATTAACACAAATCTAAATGTCAATATAAATATAATGTATTTATTTATTTTTATTATTATTTTTTTGACAGGCAGAGTAGACAGTGAGAGAGAGAGAAAGGTCTTCCTTTTGCCATTGGTTCACCCTCCAGTGGCCGCCGTGGCTGGCGTGCTACGGCCGGCGCACCGCGCTGATCCGATGGCAGGAGCCAGGTACTTCTCCTGGTCTCCCATGTGGTGCAGGGCCCAAGGACTTTGGGCCATCCTCCACTGCACTCCCTGGCCACAGCAGAGAGCTGGCCTGGAAGAGGGGCAACCGGGACAGAATCTGGTGCCCCAACCGGGACTAGAACCCGGTGTGCCGGCGCCACAAGGCGGAGGATTAGCCTAGTGAGCCGCCGTGCTGGCCAATATAAATATAATGTAACAATATCTATTTTAAAAAGGAAGTAAGATAAACCTGGTACTGAGACAGATTTTGTTCTTTCTGAATATAGGTTAACACTTTTAATTATAAGTAGCTTCTATAAACACAGTAAAATTGATATCAGACATTTTAGTGACCAAGTCAGTATTAAATAAGTTTGTTATTGTTTTTATGTAAATATTATGGAGAGTTTATGCAGAATTTTTAAATTATCTAAAAAGTTAAAAAAAAACAATTTTATGATGAAAATATTCTCAGTGTGGGATTGGAATTGGTTGTTGTTACCCATTGCAAAGCACAATCAAATTATGTGTAGCATAGGATCATGAGCTTAACAAGTCACTAGGCTGTGCATGAATTTGGGCTTCAGTTTACAAAGAAAGAAAATAATAGGGGTTGGCGTTGTGAGTTATGGTATAGGGGATTAAGGCACTGCATACAATGCCAGCATCCCATATGGGTTCCACCTCAAGTCTGGGCTGCTTGTCTTCAGATCCAGCTCCCTGGTAATGGCATAGGAAAAGGCAGTAGAAGATGGCTCAAATGTCTGGACCCCTGCCACCCTCTTTGGAAATCCAGATGAAACTCTTGGCTCATGGCTTCGGCCTGGCCCACCACTGGCCATTGTGGCCATTTTGGGGGGTAGACTAGCAGTTGGAAAATCTCTGTGTCTCTCCCTCTCTCTCTCTCTCTCTGTAACTCTGCTTTTCAAATAAATTAATTATTTTTTAAAAAAAGCACTTGTTTAAAAAGAAAAAAAAATACTGGGATTGCAGATACCTTATCAAAATAATTTATCTTTCTATTCCTTTTCTATGCATAGCCAAGACAGATTGCTCTTACTCAAGATAAAGAAAGTTCTGGTTTGGTTTTTAGTTGAGAAGTTCCCATATTGACTCCTTTGTTGATTTAGAAACCTGTAAGAGTTGTTTACTGTCCTTGTTGATGCTGTTGTATGCCAGGTTATATTTATATTTCCTTGCCAAAAAACAACTTATTTACAGAAAGGGGATTGGGCGTTGACCAGTGTATTCTGATTAAATAAACAAACTAACAAAATGCACGTGCAAACCAGGCTGAACAACAAAATATTTTTTATACAGCCAGAAAAACGGGAAAAAACTTCTTTAAATTTCCCAGACTCTTTCACTTCCCCAAAGCTAGGCTGAAACTTTTTAAATTCTTCCATGTGAACTCTTGAAGAACAGCACCATTTTGATTTCTAAAGTGACAAAGAGAATGTGCTCCTGTTTAGCACTCTGTCATACTGATTGAGTGTCAGAGATTTCTCTAAATGCAGAGATTAGAATAGAGAAAGAGTTTGAGAGTTCAGTTTTTAGGCTTTTCCAATGAGAATGAAGTAAAATTTTGGTATTTCAGCCATGAGTATCAAATTTTAAAATTTTAAATGTTTTGTTTAAACATTATATTGTGATTTCTGTTAGAAAATTGTCAAGCATTTCACAAGTTAGATTTGTAGGAATACCATAAAATGCCTTACTTACTCTCTTAGCTATCTGCCACAATGATGATGGATCTTGGCTCCAGACAGAAAACCAGACATGGTTTTCTCATGATAATTCACCTTGATATATGTGAAATTAGATGCTTTCACCTAAAAGCCAACTAGAAGTAATTGTATAGGGAAGATGACTGTACAGAAGCTTGGATCTGTGTGTTGAAGGACAGGAACTGGGTTGAATGAATTCCTTTAACTATACAAATGAAATTCTTTTCTATGATTCTAAGCCTCAAAATAATACATTCTGTGTAAATGCTGAATCTAGCTCATGAGTACAAAATAGTGCATATTGTTATAAAATACACGTAAGTTAATACCCAGTATGTTTTATGAAAATATATCCAAGCTCTGGTGGAAAGTCTGCCAGTTATTCTTATAAATTGTATCATAGCAAACTTTATGGTAAAAGTTTATATTAAAATTATTTTCAAATAGGTTTGAATTATATTCTTAGAAATGCCTTTAAAATAACTCTTCAAAATGTGTTTTAAATCTGAATTAAATTACATTAAATACTATAACACCTATAGGGTGTAAGATCCTTGTTGCCATGGGAGGAGTTGGGGTTTCAGCAGGACCTAGTAGTTTAGTTAAATAAGGAGTTACAGCAAGAATAGACCTGCAGTGTGAATGTGAACAGTCGTCAACATTTGGCAGAAGGAACAATGGGCAACTGCACATGTTTCTTTTGAATACTTAACTTAGTGTACTAATTATATGTTTGTTTACTTTTGAACAAAATTTAAGATCTCTGAATTTTACTACATTTGAAGGAGATGGAGAAATAAGAAAATTTAAGACCTTTTTCAGATCTGGTATGCTGAGATAGAAAAATGTAGGTTTGAATAAGTAAGACAATTAAGTTGTTAGTGAGTGACTAGGTGATTTCATCTGAAATTCAGTTTGGGATGTTTTAGTTAATGAGGTCAAGCTTGGTGGTTATTTAAAGACTTACAGTGTTTTGTTCTAACTGGAATAATTCCCTCCCTCCCCCTTTTTCCAGTATTGCTGAATGCTGCAGCACTCCTTACTCTCTTTTGGGTTTGGTCTTCACCGTTTCTTTTGTTGCCTTGGGGGTTCTGACACTCTGCAAGTTTTACTTGCAAGGTTATCGTGCTTTCATGAATGACCCTGCCATGAATCGGTAAGTAAATTTAGTTGAACTTAGAATGTCTAGACATATAAATTCTAGTATCAATGTCTTTCTTTGCTTGAAAAATTTTAGGGGAATAAGAATTGTGATCAGTGGTTGTAAAAATTGGACGAAAGTGTTAGGGAAAAAAATAACCAAATTCCCATTTAAAGAAAGATGATTTTTTTAAAATATTGTGTGTAGGAAGGGAAAATATGTATTATGGAAAAATTATGCATGGATTTCAAAAGCTTTTTATGTGAAAATATACTTATTTTTTAATTCCATTTTTCATAGACTTTTTGAAGTATCCTCTTTTGTTCATTACCACATACTATGGGTATGTGGAATAAGGTGCTGTTTTGTACCTTATTTTCTTTATTTAATACATTTTGGTGAGGAATTTCTGTCATCACATATATAACCTTTGATTCTTTTTGATAAAGAATATCATTCCATAATATGGGTGAGTTTCTTTTTTCTTATTTTACTATTAGGAAGAAATGCTGCTGTACCTTTCTACAAAAAGAGACTTAAAAAAACTTTTAATTAGAAAAAATTTAAAGCAATAAAGTTGAGTGAATAATAAAATAACCCCCACATACTCTTCCACATATATTGCTGGTCTCCCAGTGATATAGCCAATCATGTCATACATGCCCCTCTCAACTCTTCCCACCCTGCCCACCTTATAATCCTCTGGGTGCAGTTGTTGGGAGAAAATCCAGCATACAAGTCAATATAATTTTACCCATAAGTAATTCATTCCTTCTGTAATTTGTTGAAAAAAAAAAGTAACTATACCAAAATGATCATTTCTGGTAATAAAATTCTCACATCCTGTTTGCTGAACTAAAGATCCAAAGAAGACTCATAATATTGAGACCCTGCTTTCTCTGTATTTTCTCCTTTCCATTTATTTGTTGAAGATACCAGGTTGTTTCTCCTATAGAGTTTTTCAGAGTTTGGGTTTTGCTGACTACCTCCCAGTGATGTCATTTAACTTTTCTACTATTCACTCTGTTGTTACCAGTAGGATTATTGAGTTGAAGGATGAATATATGTTAAATTAACTTAGCAGATGTTTCCCCAGACGGGGTTTATCTTTGTATATCTCAGCACTAGTGTGCTCATTTTCTTAGATTCTTTGTTAGTATTTTTGTGCCACAAAACCTTGAAATGTTTGCTCATCTGTAGTTTATAAAACTGTGCCAGTTCTTTGCTCATTTGTGAGAGTTCTTTATAAAGCAAGCTACTGGAATAAAACATTCTTGGGAATTTGTGTATATTTTATTTTCATATGAGAATTAAATTTCAGAAATGTGTATTTAGCTTTTTGTTTATGTCTACTGATTCTTATGATTCTAAGCCTCTGGATTATTTTCTCTTGGAATTAAGTGAAATTTTATTTTTGTTTTATCTTTTCTGAAAATGTTTGCTTTCTAGGGGCATGACAGAAGGAGTGACACTGTTGATCCTGGCAGTACAGACCGGGCTGATAGAACTGCAGGTTGTCCACCGGGCATTCCTGCTCAGTATTATCCTTTTCATTGTCGTCGCTTCCATCCTGCAGTCTATGTTAGAGATTGCAGATCCTATTGTTTTGGCACTGGGAGCATCTAGAGATAAGTAAGAACTTCCTAATGTTCCTTAATATAATTTAATTTAACTCATGTAATATTATTTTCATAAACTTGTTTTCTAAAGATTTAGGGAATTTTTAGAGTTGGGAAATGGATGGGTAATTGGTATTAGCTTAGGTTGATTCAACAAGTTTACATTTTACTTTTCCTGTGTAAATGTTGACTTGTTTGACTTTTTTCCTCTTTAGAGTTCTATACTTAGAAGTTACGTCAAAGGCCATGTAATCATAAACCAACCCTTTCTTTTTCAGAGAAATCTAATACTTTTTATATTTGTCCAGTTTTAAAATTAAGAACAAAGCATAAAATTTAGTCTAGTAAACATAAATAATATATAAATATTCTGTACAGTGCTTGCTTGTAGTTAAAGGAGAGAAGGTATAAGGAGAAATGCAAATGAAGGAGAGAAACATAAAGGTTGTCAGGTAGTCATAAAGGTAGCTGTTTATGGAACCACAGCCTCCTTTAGAGGGCTTGTGGACAGTTGTGGTTCACTGAGGTTTTAATTGGAATTTTTCCCACCATGTGGGACCAAATGAAATTTGTTGCTGGATTCATGTATGTCTTGTATTATAGAAGTTTCCTTGTCTGTCACTCTGCCTTTCAAATAAATAAATCTTTTTTAAAAAGCCAAGCTCTTAGTTCTTTGGCTTGTTGAAGTTTATTTATGGAAATTCTAAAATGCTTAAAATTTAATGTCATTTCTTCCCACATTCTGCTTTTAAAACATAATATACATGTATATATATATAAAACATATATAACTTTTAACATATAAATTATCAGCTTTTTTTTTATTCAAAAGGCAAAGAGACAGAACATCTTTCATCCATTGATTTACGCCCCAGCCAGTGCTGGGTCAGCCCAAAATCAGGAACCAGGAGTTCCATCCAGCTGGGTCTCCCACATGATTGACAGAGATCTAGGTAGTTGAACCATCACAAACTGCTTCTGGGGTACACATTAGTAGAAGGCTGGAAGCTAGAATTGGCAATGGAGTTGGAACTTACCCAGGCACTCTAGAATAGGATACAGGCATCTCAAGCACTATCCTATAACTGCTGTACCAAACATTTGCCCCTGATTATTGATTATAGAAATAACATCTGGATTTATTGGTTGGAGCAAGCAATTTGTTGAGAGGTAGAATTGTGACAAAGATTCCTAAAACATTTCAAATTAGCATTTTAATTATGGTTCATCAGGTTTATCTTTGTATCTCCATAAACCACACTGCCAAACTGTACAGTTTTCTTAAATGGTAGGGTGGCTAAAAGAATCTATTTAAATAAGCTCCGTGCTCTTGGCTTTGTTTCAGATAATCTTTATCATCATAATTAATAATAGTTATTTGAGATTTATTTTTTAGGTTTAAGATCTTTTGACAATCATTTAAGATGCTGAATTCAAGGTCAAGCTCAGTTAAGTAGCCCTTTGATAGATAGGAAAAGTAGGTTACTTTTTCCTACATAGCATATTTGGTCAACTCTGACAATATCTTTTATTATTGATAATACAACCTTATAAAATTTTTGAAAAAGGAAACAGAATATATAATTTCACTACCATTCGAACCAGCAGATACAATGCTGAGTCTTTCATGTATGCTATACTATTCTTACTACTGGCTTCCTTCTCAAATCCAATGCAAAGGGAATTTAGAAGGAAGGGAGCAACTCCGAAGCTTTGTGTGGGGGAGTCTATGTAGTTATTCTGGCTTGGTGTCTGTGTCATTACATATGATCATTGGAATAGAGTCCCTAAACAGACCCATAAGCATGTGGAACATTGATGTGTGAGTGTGGCAGTAGAGGCCTGTTGGATGAGCAGGGTCAGGTGGGACTCAGCTGTAATGAAGCTGGAAAAATTCTTTCCATTTGAAAGTGGATGAAGGTGGATCCATATCTCAAGCTACAAGCAACAAGAATCAACACTAGAATTGTAGGAGCTTGAATGTCAAAAAGTTTAAACTCTACTTAGGTTAGTTTATTTGGGACCTTTGAGTAGGAAGAGATTTCTTAAACTGACAGAATTAGCTGTGAAAGGCTGAGGTTGACTAGGAAAGAAAGATTAATACATTTAACTTAATAATAGCAGTTTTTAAACCTACAGGTAAATTAGAAATAATGATTACAAACTGGGAGAAGATTTTCATAGTATGCTCTCCTAAGAGTTAGTATCAAGAATGAACAACAACTGCATATCAGTGAGCAAAAGGGGCAGTTAGGAGAAGAATAAACACATGTGAATGAGAAAAGGCCCTGCATCCATAGTTATCACATAAATGTAAATCAAGACCCAATGACAAACTTCCTTATACCTGTAATTCAAAAAGGAAGGAGAAAGGAAAGTTTACTGACCCCAAGGTGGGAGACTTAGGTCCGCAGGATATCCTGGTGAGTGTACAGTCGTGTAGTCACTGCGGTAAACAGTGGCTTTAACTACTCCTCCATGTGCTTGTACTCTAGAGGCACTGGCACATGGGCAGTAAGAGACTAGAAGAATGTTCTAGCAGGATTCAGAACAACCAAAGCCTAGGAACAGCCCAGATGCCAATCAAACAAGAAAGTGAATAAAAATGTGATAATGGTCACATGGAGTGTTAAGAATAGTAAGGCTCATAGCGCTGGCATTGTGGTGCAGCAGATAAAGCCTCCACCTGCAACACTGCCTTTTCATACTGGAGTGTCCATTCAAGTCCTGGCTGGTCTGCTTCTAATCTGGCTCCCTGCTGATATGTACCTTAGAAGGCAGCAGAAGATGGCCCAAATGCTTGGGCCCCTGCCACTGATGTGGAAGACCTAGATGAAGTTAAAAACTTCTGGTTTTCACCTGGCCCAGTTCCATCTATTCTAACCATTTGGGGAGTGAACCAGCAGATGGACAAAACTGTTAAACCATGAAGCAAGCAAGAAAACAAAGTATACAGGTCAGGATAGAGATTTCATGGAACATTCTTGGGGTGGGCCACAGCGTGAGCAGGCTGGCCATTGTTAGGTATGGATGCATTTCTGGCTGGAAGTACGATGCTTGTGCTTTGCTGAGAGGAAAGTTAATTACCAACTCGAGAACAAATGTGGATAAGTTTGGACCTCAAAAATGGGAATGAGAAACCTCAAAGCCAGACTTGGAAATTTTGAGAAGGCATTGAAAATTACTAGAGCTTTAGTAAGATTCATCTGGCTAGTGGTGGCCAGGATAAGTTAGGAGCTAGAGAAGGGAGGAAGAGTGGCTGGTAGAGCTTACAGTGCAGTGGTAGTTGGTCATGTTCCCTCCTTCCCCACCACAACAAGTGTGAAGATTAGTGCACCTGTTTATTGCAGAGCCATCCCCGTGAGACTGCACCCACAGAGTGGATCAGGTAGGGAGAGACAGTGTCTGATAATTTGAAAAAAAGACCACAAATGATTCTGACACTCCCTCCCTTTCCTAACACAGAAAAGTACTGTGGAATTGCTTAGGGTTTACGACAGAGTCAGTACTGGGAATGAAATTGGAAGCAAATTATGGAAGAAAAAAATGATGCTACTTGAGAATTGACTGAGTATGGTGAGTTTGAAATGCGAAGCCTAGACTGGCAGGGAGAAAGGTGCTCAGGCAGTCTTGATGAAATGTAATCCTGGCAGCAGACCTGTTAGCTGCCGATGTGAGTGTGGCATGACGAGAGGCAGACACTCAAAGAATTATTTCATCTTTCTCCAGGAGTTTATGGAAACACTTCCGTGCCGTAAGCCTCTGTTTATTTTTACTGGTATTTCCTGCTTACATGGCATATATGATTTGCCAGTTTTTCCACATGGATTTTTGGCTTCTTATCATTATTTCCAGCAGCATTCTCACCTCTCTTCAGGTAAGCCTAGGATTAACTAGCTTTTTGTAACTACTGACTTTCTTTTCATCCGGGAAAAGGAATTAAACTTTTTCAAGATTAATGATGATAAGTAGCCTATTTTTGTGATAACTTCCCACCTTCTTTACCTACAACATGTAACATTTAATAGAGCACAGGAATTAGAAGATAATTATTAAGATACTAGATTGTCTTATCTGTGTCACTGTACTTTTTATCAAGGTAATTAAAGCCTTTAGTTGCTCTTTTTCAAAATGGTATGATTGTGGTACAAATCTTAAATTGATAAGTAACTATAAAGTGTTAAAGTATTCTAGAGCTTATTTGGAGTACATTTTAAAAATCAAACACCTATTCAAGAATACCCACCTTCATGTTAAGTATGTAAATATATATCATATGTATGTCATATAGACATCACATTCTGCTAATATTTCCCTAGAAATAGCAAACATTGTAACTTAGAGGCTGAACTTTTGTTGCCTCAGCAGTAAAATAACATGTAGCACTGGCAATAAAGATCTATTCATGAAACCTCAGGAGCTCTGGAGCTACTGGGGTATGTTGGAATGCCATGACATCAGTGCCATGTCAGATGCAGGTAAAAGCATGGGACTACAGATTCTCATTCCTCATCACAATGCTGACTTGCTTATATATTCTATAACCATTTGGTTTCCTGCCTAGATTACTAAGTTTTATACTTAGACAGTAAGACCTGTGGACTGGTTGACATTACAATAAAGATTTTAATATGGAAAACAGAAAGATCTGTTCATTATTCCTTATAGAAGGAAGAATTCTTTGAGAGTTAAGGAATAGGAATGGGTATAGTATGAGGAAATTCAAGTTGGAATTGATTGGTTTTGTCATCTGTGAAATAAAAGGAAAGGATGCATCAGAGAAAATGGATCACTCATTGAGTAGTTTTAGAAAGTTATGTCTAAAGGTATGGCTTTTTGGTATCTAATGCCTGGATTTTTGAGTTTATCCCACATTTTAATTAATTAAATTGTTTTAATTGATTTAGATTTATTATAATTTTCCCCTGGATACTCCTTTAAATAAGGCATCCTAAAAATACCAGAGATTGGTTATTTTTTAAAGCCTATAAAAAAGTTTCTTATACTTTGTTTTTCAGGTTCTAGGAACACTTTTCATTTATGTCTTATTTATGGTTGAGGAGTTCAGAAAAGAGCCTGTGGAAAACATGGATGATGTCATCTACTATGTGAATGGCACTTACCGCCTGCTGGAGTTCCTGGTGGCCCTGTGTGTGGTGGCCTATGGAGTCTCAGAGACTGTCTTTGGAGAGTGGACTGTGATGGGCTCAATGATCATCTTCATCCATTCCTACTACAACGTGTGGCTTCGGGCCCAGCTGGGGTGGAAGAGCTTTCTTCTTCGCAGAGATGCTGTGAATAAGATTAAGTCATTGCCCATTGCTACAAAAGAGCAGCTTGAGAAGCACAACGATATCTGTGCCATCTGCTATCAGGTAACTTGCTTGGCCAGAGTCTGTCTGGGTGGGTCATACGGGTGGCTCTTAGGATCGTAGCACGTTAACCAAATTCAACTGAAATTTCCAGGCGGTATTATCTCTTGGGCTTAAAAAAGAAAAAGAAGAAAAAAAATGGGCCTCAAAAAGTATTGAAGTCCTGATAATATATTTCCATTTCATTTTCAAACTAAGTTTCAGTTTCATCTTTGAAGTTCTAATGTATTGTTGTTTTCAACATTATTGCTCACCATAAATAAAGGAAAAACAGGTCAGGTGTATTTTATATTTACTCCTGAATAAATACACATACACACACACATACATACCCCTTCAAATATATACTGTCAATCAGGAGTCAGCAACTTCTGAAAAGTGGTGTGCCAAGACTCTGACTCTTCTTCCTAGTATTTCTGGGGTGGGAAAGAAGTGTTTATGTGTTTAACCCAGGTGGAGAGAGTATGTGCCCATTGATGTGGGCAGGCACCCAAGAGAGATCCAGGCAATAGTCTGGGGGTATGGTGGAGGTTCCCATTGGTATACCATAGAAACTGACTGCTGCTTTCTTTGGCACATGTATGTACCATTAAGGGCTAATAATTGCCTTCTGCACAAAGTGAAGGAAGTTTTTAAATTATCTTGGAATTGAAACAGTGATGACTAGGTCTGGCTTTTAATCACCAGTCACTTACGCAAGAAGGGTAGTTGAGTGGTAGGTTTTACTCCTGAACTGCCCTGTTGATAGTGTGGACAGAAATTACGGGCAACAACAGAAACGAGTTTCCATTGAAAAACTCTTTTAAGGAGTATGGAATGATAGACCATAGTGCCAGTGAGCATACAGGAAATGTTCCTCCTCCAGGGCTACTTTTATAGTTTATGTGGAGAATGTATGTATCCGTGTGTGCTTAAAACTATCTAGAATTTTTTCTAATAGGAAAATGTAGCTGCTACTTTTTAATTGTAATTAGAACTTACTTTTGGACAATAGCAAAAACAGTTTTCCATGTTGCTTTTGTATTTGAGAGGACTAAGCAGTAGTGGAACCTCTTCTTACCCAATCAGGTAGTCATTCTCTCAGCTCTGTTCACTAGTTAAGTGAAGTCTCGCTCTTTCATGCTTGGTAGCCTCATTGTACTCTGGACAAAGCACATCAGAAACAGATTCAGCCATACCATGTCTTAAATACCCCAACTCTTGGGATGCAAGAATCCTCTTTTTGTAATGCCTGTTGTCACATCACTTTTCGAGGTGCTGGAACTACCTGCTGCTGTCACATGGAAAATGAGAAAACTGCTTAGCTTCACAGCTGGCTGCTTTTCCTTGGATGGCTTTCTGCTTACAAGTTGACTCCTGGGTGTTACCAGTTTTTGGCAAGGAATTCCTGGGATAGCCACATCTCTGTATTATGGGACTTTAGACAAAATTAATGGTTGATTCACAAAATGTGTGTACTTAACAGTTTTAATATAATGTCCTCAGGCTTCTCTCCCCATATATATCTTTTGCAAGGAACATTAATGCCAAATATATCACTCCTTCTTCTGGTTGTTAGCAAACTTGAGGGCCTTAAAGTCACAAGGGTGGCTTGTTCTCACTATGTGTTTGTGAGTCCCATCTTAAGATATCCCAGTTCGGTAGCAAGAGGCCCTAGAGTATGCATTGTTAATTGGTTTTGATACAACATGAGAAACCCTGGTTATGCAGACCACATCTTGACAACTGGGTGTACACATTATTGGCCCTAATGAAGTTGCCACTTCCTTGCCAATACCCTGGTGTTATGTGGCTGATTTTGTCTCCTTACAAATAATTTATCATGAAATAATCTGTTCAGTTGTGTTGAAGCATAACTGTGAAAGTCCAGTCTTCCTCTGATTTTCTGAGATTCTAATTACACTCGTATCATAACCAATGGAGACCCAGTAATCATCCTACTGCAGTTGTGTGACCTTTGCAATTCATACTAAGGCAAAAACAAACCAAAAAAACACCCCAGTTATATTGATAGTTTCTTCCTCATTTTTTTTTTTGTTATTTTTTAAGCACTTCATGGTTCTTGTATTATTTATTTAAGTGAGTCTTTGGTGGTAATTAACAGGATTATTACTGAAACATAAAATAAATTTTATTCTGAGAATTGTGTCATATATCCTATTATGGGGAGGGGGATGTTGAAGCCAGAACTTTCGGGGAGTGACTTCAAAGATGTAGATTTATGAGGAATCCTTCTTTTCTCTCTCTTAGGACATGAAGTCTGCTGTAATCACACCTTGCAGTCATTTCTTCCATGCAGGCTGTCTAAAGAAATGGCTCTATGTCCAGGAGACCTGCCCCCTGTGCCACTGCCACCTCAAAAACTCTACCCAGCTTCCAGGATTAGGAACTGAGCCGGTTCCACAGCCTCACACTGGAGCTGAGCAGAACGCTGTGCTTCATGGAGGCGCTGCACCCCCAGACCAAGAGCATCCTGCAGGGACCACAGCACAGGAAGGCTCTAGGGGCACTAATGAATGTGTTGCCGAAAAATCATGTAGCCACGAAGGGGCCGTCAACCCCAAAGAATCTCCTGGGAGTGCAAAAGATGAAGCACATCCCACGGAGTCCACCTAGAGGTGGAAGCAGGAATGGCACTTTGCTGCTGTGGAGTAGGAGTGAATTTAAGGTGGAGTTCATGCTTGGTGTTGGAATGAATGTATAAGATGATTGGGCAGGAAACTGCCATTCCAAGCATCTAATCCAGGAAATACTCTCAGCGGAAACCACCTGCTTTCATCCCCTTGACAATTGGAGGAATTTTGCAATGTATGCTAATCAAAATGTATTTATATATTCTATGCTGATGTTTTGTAGAGGTTTGCCAAGAAAATCCAACCTCAACTCCAGAACTGCCCCTGATCTGTGAGGGGTAAATAAAACCAAATGTGTGTGTTTGAAGGGGGCAAAGGAAGAAGATAACAAGCTTAAGGACAGCATGGAAAGAAGCAGGTGGAAGTGGAGCTTTCACTTTGTGTGGGACAGGATCATTCTTGTTACAGAGTATGAGTTGTAACCTCCCCATCCCCTCTCCCTTCTGTTCGTTGGAACTCAGTCAGGTGATGATTGAGTTTTGTACAGCACTGAAATGAAATCAAAGATGTAGAAGCATTGATTGTACTCAAAGATGGAAGCACACTCATCCTTGGCATGTGCTTCAGGGGAGGGGCGGGTGGGCACTGGGGCCCTGCGGGTGCATTCTTGTCATCTGAGACTCTGGAACTTTATGATAGAGTTTCCAATATTGTGATGTATATGAAACTTTTGTTAATATGTTGTATACTTTGTTGGCTGCGTGACGTAAACTAAAACTCTAATGAACACTTTGGAGTCCGCTTTAGTAAAGGAGACCAAAGTGGGAAGGGCTTTAGGGCACTGATAAAGGCCCTGGGTGTACTTTTCAATTCTGTGTAATGTTTAATTCTTGCAACTGAATCAAAACAGTGTTAAATTATGGCAACATTTGCACTTTGGGAATGAGTACTTAACTGTATGATCACACTTTGCAAATGCCACTTTTAAAGCTGTTAATAGACTTTGCACCTTTTCTTTGACAAGGAAATGTCATATTTAAATTTTTACATTCATCATGGCTACAGTAGAACTGGGGAGGGGGGAATGTAATTTTTTATGGGAATTTTGATATGAAAAGAAACTAGTCATTTATTTATACAATAGGCTTGGCTCATAAAGTGTTTTTCAGATTTGGTATTCCTAATGTGGAATGTGACTGTATTTTATTTTTAGTAGCAAATATGGATGTAGACTGACAGACATAGCTGAATGTCTTAATAAATTTACATTTGGAGATAACTGCACCCTGTGCTTATGACTCACTGTTACAGTAAGAGGTTTTGTTGAGATTCTGTTCTTATGAGGTTCTGGTTTTATCTGGCTGGACTTCTAAGCTTGTGTTGATCCCTGTCATAAATGCCCTGCAGATGGCAAAAACCTTTTGTTGGGAAGGGCCACTTCTTGGGAGTCTTCTACTCCAGGGGTATAAAAAGCCTTGTTCTGCCTCAAAAGCAGGTCTGGCCCTACTTCAGACCTAAATTGCCCTCGGGGGTAGTAGGTGGGGTACCTGAGAATGTGCATTTCAGAGCTACCCAGGTTATTCTCTCTAGATAGCCTGGCACCTGTACAATACTGCGTTTAGAAAAGTGTCCATACTAAAATTAATTTCTCCCCAGGTACAGCTGGAAGTTTCTCACCTTCCTTTCAGTGATCCATGTTAGGCAGAAAACGAAGCTGATGGCTCCCTCTAGAGGTAACAAGCCGCCTAGCCAGAGACCTGGTACTAAGGACCTGAGATGTCAAACAATGATTTCCAGTGTTTGTGGAAAAGGGCATGTTTAAGTATTAACCATTTTGGCACCCTGTTTGAGGAATAAAATTAAAGGGGAAGTTGTCAATGGCAAGGTCAACTTGGTTGTCCTTAACACTGAGTACCTTTAGGGGATTCTATTAGCTTTTTGTTTCTGCAATGAAATGCCTAAGGCAAGCTACTAATGAAAGAGGTTTATTTTCACTCTTGTTTGGAGGTTCACAGTCCCAGACTGGGCAGACCCATTAATTCTACCTTCTGAAGAGTGGCAGTAGCAGAACATGTGCAGAGGAAGGAAAACCCAGCAAGCTGGAAGCAGAGAGGGCAGGTAGACCTGATGCAGGCTTACAGGATGAGCCCGCTCTTGTGAACTGCCTTCCCAGGCCGTAGCACAGTGATTTAAGGACCTCCCAGTAGGCCCACTTGCCAAATGCCACAGTCAAATGAAGCCTCCACACTTCCAGGACCATTGATTTAAGATGTTGGGCATTGAGCCCTGTTCACATGAAAGCAGAAATCTTGTTTAGGTTTCTGACTGAAGAATTCTCTCTCAGGTAAGTGATTAAGGAAAGTACTCTAGTATTTTAATAAAAGTAGAGACTTTGCTTTAGGAACAGGTTCAAATTACACTTTTTACTTCCTGGTAGTAAGTAGACCCTATCTCTACAGACGGAGTCAGATGAGCTGTTAACAGTCTGTTCTGACTGTGTACTTTCCCGCTTCAGTCTTGTTGGCCATACAATATGGTGATACAAACCCTCAGTGGCTTTTTTTCCTGGAGATTATTTTGAAAGGCGTGACGAGACAGAAATCTTCAATCTGCTAGTTCACTCCCCAAATTCCTGCAAGAGCCAGGGCTGCACCAAGTCGAAACCAGGAGCCAGGTCTCCTACATAGGTGGCAAAAACCCCAGTACTTAGACCATTATTTGCTGCCTTCTTGCATTAGCAAGAAGCTGGATTGAAAGTGGAGCAGCTGGGACTCGAACCAGAAGCCCTGACGAGATGCAGGTGTCCCAGGCAGCAGCTTAATATGCTGTGTCACAATGCGCATCCCTTCTGTGGCCTTCAACTAGAAGGGTTTTTGTCGCATACACACCCTCTACACCAGTGTTTATTTGCCAGTTGACAGATTCTCAATTTGCTTTAGATGCCCAGAGATGTAGACTGCCGAAACAGCCTCTCTTGGACCTTTCTCATGGTTATACCAGAGGGAATTAGTGCTGTCCTTGACCTGATAGTGGTAGCCCTGGATAACACTATCTGGATTTCCAGTTCCATTTGCCAGTCAATGTTGTAATAGTCTTAAGCTCATGGCAGACTTTTTGAGTAAAGAAGAATATGTGAAGTTTGGCCACCTTATTTGTACTAATGAAGAGAAAACAGAAAATTAGATTCAAATCCTCTTCTATTATGCATGATCAAATTAAGGGAGAAAATAACCAAATCCCCTGAGAGTCCTTTTTGGGCCACTTTTCCTGTCCATTTAATGGTTCCCATCATTTTCCAGATAGTGCATACTTGTTTTCACTCACGATCACTATTCTCTTAAAAACCAGGGGCAGGCATGTGGCAGAGTAGATAAGATGTCACTTGTGATGGCCACATCCCATGTCAGAGTGGCTGGGTTGGAATCCCGGCTCCACTCCCAATGCCAGCTTCCTGCTAATGCACAACCTGGGAGGCAGCAAGTGATGGCCTGAGTGTTTGAGTGCCTTCCTCCCACAATAGAGACAGATTGAGTTCCAAGCCCCAGGCTTTGGCCTGGCCCATCCTCAGCTTTTGCAGGTTTTTAAGGCGTGAACCAACAGGTGGAAGATTTTCTCCTCCTTTCTTTCTATCAAAATTTTTTTTTAAAAAAACTGTTTGCCACTTTAGGATTTTTGATACTAAACAGTGCTAAAAACTCTTCATCTTAACATTTTTCCAGTTTGTAATGCCATTTGCTTTATAAAACTGTTTTAGTGAACTATGCCATGCTATTTGCACAATTTTCATGTGTCTCTGCATGTCTAATTCTCAACATTGTATGGAATGTGTGGCTCCCTCAGCATTTGGGTGTTTCATTTTGTGTGTGTGTGTGTGTGTTAAGGTTTTAATTTATTTGGGAAGTAGAGATGGAAGATCACTTTCTCTACCTCTCTCCCTAACTCTGCCTTTCAAATAAATAATAAATCTTAAAAAAATAATTTCTCTAATCTTAGAATCATAGTAATTTGTAATTAGTAATTACAGACTTTTAATTTTTTACAAATATACTTCAGAAGGCTTTTGTTCTACTTTTTTTCAACGCTGCTTATTATTTGGAATGCAAAACATTTGTAAAGAATAAATCACCCACAATTTCACCTTGAGAATTGGTCTTTGCAAGTTACTTTTATTTTATTTATTTTTTGTAGCATTTTAAAAAAATTTATTTCCATTGTATTTGAAAAACAGACAACACACACACACAAGAGTCTTCCATCTCTTGGTTACTCCCCAGATGCCCAGCTGTGGGTCTGGGCCAGGCTGAAGCCAGGAGGAAGCAACTCAATCCAGGTTTCCTGTGTGAGTGGTAGAAACCCCAACTACTTTAGCCATCCACCTGATGACCCCAAGGATGCACATTAGCAGGAGGCTGGATTGGAAGTGGAGGAGGCAGGAATTGAACCAGGCACTCTAGTATGGCATGTGGGCATCCAAAGTGGTGACTTAACCACTGAGCCAAAGGCCCATCCCAAATATTTTCTTTCTTTGAAGGCAGGGGAGTGGGGAAAAAGAAAAAGAACTCACATTGCTGGTTAAGTGCCTAAATACCTGCAACAGCTGGGAACTAGGCCAGGAGTGGGCTAGACTAAAACTGGAAGCCGGGAATTCAATCCAGGTCTCTTATGTGAGTGGCAGGGATCCAATCAATTGAACCATCACCACTGCCTCCCAGAGTCTGCTTTAGCAGGAATGTAGAGCCAGGAATTCAGCTCAAGCACTCCAGTATGGCGCATGTGTGTCTTAACTGCTAGGCTAAATGTTTGCCCCTTTTATTTTCTATTTTTAATTTAATTAATTATGTTTGTAAGACAGAGGTGGAGAAGGGGAAGATCTCCCAGCTGCTGATTCATTCCTCAGACACCTGCAACAGCTGGAAGTAAGCCAGGCCAGTGCCGGGAACCAGGAGCTCAATTGAGTTTGCCATGTGGGTGGCAGGTGCCCAACTACTTGAGCCATCACTGATGCCGCTGAGGATCGAACTCAGGCACTCCCATGTGGAATGGGTCCCAAGTGGCGTCTTAACTGCTGCACCAAAAGTCCTCTTCCCTTTAGTTTCCTATTGGATGATAACGGAACTCTCCCGACTGACAGACACACCTATTCACCTATGCAGAGGTCATTTTCGTGTCTCTCTCTAAATGCTTCTAAACAATTTTGCAATTCACCAGTTAAGGCACACCTGTTTCTCTGGAAATAGAGAATGGGACAGTTTTTAGAAATTTAGTCCACCTCATTTTAGAGGTAGGACTTGCTTAGAAAATAATCAAATACTAGGAACAGCTTATAGAACTAGTTATCCTTATGGCTGTGTAGAAAGATGCTGTATTTCTCTCCTCCAGTGCATTCTGCATTTGGTTGCCCTGTGTGGACAAGTTTTAGTCAAAGTGGGATATTTCTAGTGAAGACTGAACAAACCCTGCTCTAAACCACATGCTGAGAGTTCTGTTCCTCTTCTTTGCCCTTAACACTGTTGTTGGTACCCTTTTTCTAACCCATTAAAAAAAAGATTTATTTATTTGAAAGACAGTGTTAGAGATAACAGAGGAAGAGATCTTCCATCCATTGGTTTACTCCTCAAATAGCTGCAATGGCTAGGGCTGGCCCATACAACAGCCAGGAGCCAGGAGCTTCAGCAGGTCTCCCACACAGGTGCAGGGACCCAAGGACTAGAGTCATCTCCTGTTTTGCCAGGTGCACTGGCAGGGAGCTGGATTGGAAGTGAAGCAACCAGAACTCAAACCAGTGCCCAAAACCTACTACACCACAACACCAGCACACACTACCCCCCCCCCCCCCATTTCTTATGAATGCTTGGCCCTTTTGCTTCTATTGTTAATAGAAATTGCTTTTCTATTGTTTTTTATATATTTTAAGAGTGGATGGCTTCTGTCTAGTTGGAAATAATGTCCATGAAAGTAGAAGAAATTCTGAGCCAATTCTAGATGGAAAATGCTCTTACTCCCCTGTCGCTCCCCGTCTTCGTGGAGGAACGACACTAAGCCCTGCCTAGGCTTCATATCCGAGTCACGGCACCATTATGTCGTTCCCCCTCTTCGTGGAGGAACGACACAGGACCCTGCGCTGTTCTTTTGTCTGCTCGGCCCTCCCCGGGTTTGCTGCTGGTTCTTCCTGGGTTGGCTGCTGTCCCTTCCACCTCCGTGGAAGGGCAGTTCCCCCTGCCACATTCCCCACTTCCGCAGGGGAGCGGCACACTGCCGGCCGGCTCTCTCGGGGGCTGCACAGG